ATTCCACATATAATCGAATTGCTCCTGGTACAGACTTTCAACCAATCCTTTCCCCACCTTTTTTAACCTCACACTATTCCTTCTTACCAGTATGCTGTTTTCTCTAATTCCTGAGTCTTTGTGAGATTCAGTAGTGTAAAGTAGCTTGCTTCTCATTAATAGCCCTGGTCACTGGCGTGTAAGTTTCAGCGGCCACCGTTTTACTAAGTCATTTAGCATCTCCTCCATCTTTTTATCTTATAAAATTCTGTGCACATTTATTGTACGCAGTTGTATTTTCTTCCTTGCCTTGAAAGGTACTTTAAAACAAACAATGAAAACAAACAAAAAATTCCCGTCATTTTAGAGGAATTTTGAGAAGGCACAAAGATAAACTTGTGACTGTATTTGACATCTTCCACAATATTTGATGAAAGCCTCATTAATACTACCTTTGCTATTACCTTATTATTGAATTTTAGTCTTACATTTTTATCATAATTACCCATCTACTCATCTTTATCATTAAGGCTTCACATATTTTAAACTTGTAAACTTGGGGGTGCCTGGGTGGCTCAATCGGTTAAGTGTCTGCCTTTGGCTCAGGTCAAGATCCTGGGGTCCTGGGATAGAGGCCCTCCTTTGGCTCCCTGCTCCGTGGGGGGTCTGCTCCCCCCCCAACCGCCCCCCATCCCGCTTCTGCCCTTCCCCCTGCTTTTGCTCTCTCAAGCACTCTTTCTCAAATAAATAAAATCTTTTAAAAAATGTAAAGTAGGCGCCTGGGTGGCTCAGTGGGTTAAAGCCTCTGCCTTCAGCTCGGGTTGTGGTCCCGGGGTCCTGGGATCGAGCCCCAGGGTCCTGGGATCAAGCCCCGCATTGGGCTTTCTGCTCTGCGGGGAGCCTGTTTCCTCCCCTCTCCCTCTGCCAGCCTCTCTGCCTACTTGTGATCTCTCTCTGTGTCAAATAAATAAAATCTTTAAAAAATAATAATAAAATAAATAAATAAATGTAAAGTATCTTAAAAAGGTAATAAACTTGTAAACTTGGAACTGAACTAAGAAATCAGTGTTACTTAATTCTTTTTTTCTTTTGAGTAACTGCTAATTTTTCTGTATTTGCTAAATAATTGTTTCTCAGTGGGTCTTGGTTTGACCAGGGCATTAGCTTATAGCTAGAGATATTTCACATTTTATGCCTATATATATATATATATTTCTTTAACATCTCGCTACTCAAAGTCTGACCAGTAGCACTGGCATTAGCTGGGAGCTTGTTAGAAATGCAGACTGAGGCTCCACTCCAAACTACTGAATCAGGAATCTGCATTTTAACTAGATCCCCAGGCAGGTCACAAGCACACAATTCAAATTGGAGAACTGGTCTGGCATTTCCCCACAGACAGCCTCACTCTGTATCCTCCTCCTCTCCCATTCCTGGTAGTATCTAAGACATTTTCTTGTCAAGTATCTTGCAGTTTGAGCATCAAGAACGTTACCTTTCCCATCCCTTCCCCACCCTCATGGGTCTGTCTCCTCTAGGTATCTTAACACCTAAAGCCCCCTGCTCCTCTAAAGGGGGAGGAAAAAAACAAAAGCCTGAAAAAGTACAGGCTCTGGATCCGTGCTATTTGGGTCCAAACTCTGGCTCTACCAGTTACTAGCTGCGGGACCTTGGGCAAGTCATGTCACTGCGCTGTGCCTCAGTTTCGGCTCTAGCAGTAAGCATTTGAAGCGTGTTAATCTATAGCCTCTGAAATCAAGAACTCAGCAACTGAATATTTAGGAGTTTCTCCTTGTTTTCTGCTGAATGGTGCTTCTAGCACACAGTTACATAAAAGGAATGTTTTATTCATTTGGACTTTATGCTTCTGAATCAACTAGTTCCACCTTCATCCGGGGGTGAATTTTATAACTATCTCCTGAATCAATAGATTTCCTAAACCTTCTCCACTTGGGGGACTGCTCACCTAGTGAACATGCTCTCTGAGCTTCACTTTAGGGCATCCACGAGCTTCAGAGTTCAATGATTATTGAGAAAAAGCCTCAGCAATGAGCACAGGAATCAACAGGGGATGGGAACAGTTGCAGGAAGGTTGGGGTGAAAGCCTGCCAAATGTTAGCAATGGTGGGAGAGGGAGAAATGGGGACATATACTATCTGGTAGGCAGCTGTCCTGTGATGGATTTGACTTTCTGAATGTTATGTATGTTAGCTGTAGCTTTTCCACAGATGCCCTTTATCAGAGTACGTTTCCCTCTATTCCTAATTTGCTGAGTTTTAAATCATAAATCAATGTTGCATCTTTTTTTATATGTATCAAAATGATCATAAGGTACTTCCTTAGATTCTGCTAATATGATAGATTATAGGAATTGACTTTTAATGTTGAACCAACCTTGCATTCTGCGATAACACTACTGGATCATGACATACTATGCTCTTTACATATTGCTGGGTCCAATCATCTAATGGTTTAACAATTTCTTCATCTATGTTTATGATGTATATTGATACATCACTTTCTTTTCTTGAAAAGGTCTTTGGCCAGTTTGGGTACCTGTGGGTAATACTGTTCTCATTAAGAAAAAAAAAAAAAAGAAAAAAAAATGGGAAGGAAGTATTCCCTTTTCCCTATTTTCTGTAAGTCTGTATAGAGTTAAAGCTTTTTCTCCCTTAAATGTTTGTTTGATACAACTCATTAGTAAGGCAATCAAAATATGGGAGTTTTCTTTTGTAGGAGTATTTTTGATACTAAATTTCTTTGGTATAAGGTTACTGAGATTTTCTATTTCATCTTGTATCAGTTTTAGTAAGCTATATTTTTAACGGAATTTGTTGACTTCGTCTAATTTATTGGTTTAAAGTTGCCCATAATATTGGTTATTATTCTTGTAATGTCTATAAGATCTATAATAACATTTCTCACCTCATTCTTGATAGAAATAATTAATACTTTTTGTTTTTCCATCCAGGTTTGCTAGAGGTTTAATTTTATTAGTCTTTTTAAACAACCAACTTTTGCCTTTATAATCCTATTTTCAGTACCATTAATTTTGCTCTTCCTTTCTTCTACTTACTTTGGATTTAATTTGCTCATTTTTTCAATAGCTTATTCCTTCCTTTCAAATATATAGGTATTTAAAGCTATATAATTTAGGAAGCAAGTATAACTCTACTGATTTGATCTTTTATTATTTTATTTCTCTGGGTTACTCACCCTTGAAAGAAATTTCCAAATCTTTTTTTTTTAGGGAAAACTTTCTTTGAGAAATCAGTAAATTCTACCCAGGGGGAGAGTATGCATATAAATCTAAAGAAGGATTATAAGGATATAAAAAGCCTAGCATTCCCGTTACATAACTCTTGGTTTTTCATTCCAGTCCAAGCTGGGTGTGTGTTTATTCTAAAGACGCTTGAATTTTAAGAACCCACAGTTCCTGTTTTGGATGCTATGTTGTAATTACCAGTGACTCATTCAGACATACTCAAGTTTTGGATGTAAATGAAGGTTAAGTATGACTTCAGTTAATTTTAATGCTTTGACTATACCAACTGCATCACTAGTACACTGTCAAGATGAAATCTTCCTCTGTTACTATTTACATTAATGTAATGAGTCATTTTTCTTCAGTCATTCCTTGTATTTTTATATTTAGCTTTGCAGATTTAAACCCCACTCCTCTTTAATAATTCATTTTAGCATTCTGATTTTTAAACAGTTTTGAAAAGGGTTATTGCACTTATTTTCTTTATACTTATTCTGGATAGTACGAAAAATAATTTCCATCATAAAACGTCTTTAAGAAAGTTTTTTGTTTTGTTTTTTTGAGGGGGTGGGTGCCTGCATGCTCAGTTAGTAGAGCATGCAAACTCTTAATCTCAGGGTCATGAGTTCAAGCCCCACATTGGGCATGGAGCCTACTTAAAACAAAAAACAAGTTCAAGAGTTTGTTTTTGTTTTTTTTTTTTTAAAGGAATGATTTGAGCTACCAAGTGAAACTTTTTAAAAAGTCAACTCAAGTCAAGATATTCCTAAATATACATCTAACCAAGTGAGTATTTGCATGATTTAGAAAAATATTTTTCCTAATTAATCTTTTAAAACATAGGTAACTATGGCCTTCTCAAACTAAAACAGCTAGTAGAAAAAAAAATACTACATTTTACATTTAGTTTAAAGTTAGTTTTGGAGAGAAGGTTTTGATTTTTAAATGCCAAATGAAAAGCTATTTCTTGAGTCAAGAGATGATATAATTCAGTGGAACGAAATAAGTACCTATAAAGATGATCTTTGCTTCTAGCAATATTTTTTAAAAAAATAAAAAATTTTATCTGATTTCAGCATCTTATTTTTTGAAAAACCCAACATTTTGGTAAAATTAAACAATTAAACACTTCAAAACACAATATAGCACGTATTATTATTTTCTCACAGGGCATCAGATACTAATATGTATAGGTAACTTTGTTAAAGTAACAAAAATTATATGAAAATCAGCACAATACTTTATTTATTGTATAAGTTTGGCAAACAGCACAAAAATCCAGCAACATTTTAAACATGTAAAAAAGTCAAATGCTGAACAGTACTGGGGATTTTTTTCATGTAATTAGTAATAATGAGAACACATTTAAAATACTGCAAAGCTAGCAAAATGAGGGTGCTTGGCTTCTGAACATATACCACGAACACACAAACACACACACACGCACGGAAACAATATAATTTATCTTTACAAAAATTACAGCCAAGCAATAGAAAAGAAGGATGTTAATAATGAAGATACTAACACGTATGTTTACTACATATATCTCATACATTGAAATGCTACATCTTGTACCCTGAAATGCCATGTGTAGAGAGCCAAGCAGAGTAAATTTAGGCTCATCACTGAGGTTAAGAATTATCAGAGAAGAATTTAGTGCTTATATGTAACATATTCAATTAAAACTTTCTATATAGCAATTCCTGGATCATAACAATGTGTTCCACTATATATCGAAGAAGTTGAATCTTCTTTGTTGGCAGTATAAAATTTCTGACCAGTATCAAAATTGTGGCAAAACACAAACTGAAGGCATTTTCTAGTGTATGCAAATATTAGAGGGGGAATCAATGAATGTGGAAGAAAATCTTAAAATTTCACACTCAGTTTTTGCTGAGCTTTGTCAAACCAAACAGCTCAATATAAGGCAAGAAAAAATAACCCCCTATAACAGATTAGTGGGTCTTACCAAGTAAAGACAGGAATTTATTATAAGGAAAAAACTCCCTACATAAACAGGTTGGAAACAATTGGCATTGAAACAAACAAATTACCTAACATTTTAACATTCAGTCATTGGTTCAGAAGCCTGACAAATGATCTATTAGTATATATTATCAAATTAACTTTTTGGAATCAGCACCAGTCCCCAAAACCTTAAATTTATAATATTTAAGATTCATTAAAATACATCCTTTTTGTGCTGTATAAACACAACTACAATCAAATTAAAGAAAGTTGAATTGACTCAACTTATATATATTTTTGTGTATACTGGGTAGCAACTTAAGTTTTTTTTTTTTTATTTACTTGTGCTTCTGTTCTGGGGCACTTTGATTGAAGAGAAATTCATTTCACAAGATTACATCTTGCTAAAGCATTCCTTAGCATTGGTCCAAACTTGAATTCCCTAAAACAAAACAAAACAAAACACAAAGAAAAGAAAAGAAGACTTTAAAATGTGATTTTGGAAGGATTCTGAAAGCCAAAGTATCTGGCTTACTAGTATGCTAAATTTCACTTTCTGGAACAACTAAAAAGTCCAGCAAATATGACACTACTTCTGGCGATGGTTAATAGAAGTGAATGTCTAACACTTCTGAGAAAAGAAAAAGAATTATCTGCATAGCCTATCTTCAAGATGGGGAAAGAGCTACTACAACTTCTCTTTTTAGAAAACTGAGTTTTAGAAAACTGAGTTTTTCATAAACTCATTTACTCATATCACATGACTGCATCATTTCTATTTGTAAACCAAACAAGTTTTCAGGCAGTTTTTCTATGTAATACTTAAAACAAAAGGAAAAAAACCTTATTAGTTTAGCAACTAAATAAAAATTAACAGAATTTTTTAAAAAATTAATGGCTTATTAAATTATTAGTCTAACAACTAATGTTTTGATAAAAACCAGTAACAGGCTAAATTATCAAATTCTTCTCAGTGGTTCTAACACGCTATTTAGCACAAAGTTAATATAATATACTTAATATGCTTAAACAAAAATGCATGTATATAAAAATAAAACTTTTAAAATCTAACAAAGTGGTAGAAACAAAGGTTTTTTGCTTTCAGCAAACAAGATACGTATTCTCAAATAACTGCTAATTCATGAAGAAGCAATATTTTAATACTTAAAGCATGTCAATATTTACCAAGTTATCAAGGCTTCAAACACAAGAAAAAACCAAGAATCTTTTGTTTTTCTCCTCCTGATGAAATACGAAAAGCAAATTTTTAAAAAATCCTTTAAAATACCTCCAACTGGCTGGAAAAGTAGTATCTGATGAGAGTATTTGTTGTCAGAAAGGGTAAGAGATCTAATGCACTGCTCTAGGAAGATCTCCGTGAGACATCAAATGGGCAAATGAAAACGACACCACAGAGCATGTAACAGTCCTGTTTTTGTGGGGAAGAGGGAAGTGTGTATTTTCTAAATGACTGTAAATGTACAACAACATCTGGAAGGATACACATGAAGTCTGTAACAGTGGTGAGGTTTCAAAAGGGAGTTGGTACAGGAAAAGAATTTTTACCTAATATGCTTCTGGATTTTCATAATTTTTGCAATAAGAGTATGTTAGTTTTATAATTAATTTTTCTGCTCTGATCTTTATTCAATTCCTACCTTCTACTAATCTTGGGCTTTGTTCTTTTTCTAGTCCCTTAAATGCAAGGTTAGATTAACATTTTTCTTGTTTCCTGAGGTTTAGCCTGTTATCACTATAAATTTCCCTCTTGGAACTGCTTTTGCTGCATTTCAAAGATTTTGGACCATTGTGTTCTCATTTTCACTTGTATCCATGTTATTTTCTGATTACCTCTTTGATTTCCTCACTGACTTACTGGAGGTTTGGTAGCATGCTATTAGCATCTGCATATTTGCATTTTTCCTTTTTTTTTTTTTTTGGGTTGAAGATTTTATTTATTTCAGACAGAGAGAAAAAGTGAGAGAGAGCATGAGGGGAGAAGGTTAGAGGTAGAAGCAGACTCCCTGTGGAGCTGGGAGCCAGACGTGGGACTCAATCCCAGGACTCCAAGATCATGACCTGAGCTCAACCAACTAAGCCACCCAGGCGCCCTCCAGTTTTTTTCTTGTGACTGATTTCTAGCTCATACAATTGTGGTCAGGAAAAATGATACTATCTCAGTCTTAAATTTTTTTTAAAGGATTCTAGAGAGAGAGTGAGAGAGAGTGCGCAAGACAGCACAAGCTAGGGGGAGGAGCAGAGGGAGAGGGAGAGGGAGCAAGGAGCTCAATGTGCAGCTTGATCCCAGGATCCCGGGATCATGACCTGAACCAAAGGCGTAAGCACTGAGCCACCCAAGCATCCCAGTCTTCTTAAATTTTACTGAGACTTGTTTTGTGGCCAAATGTGTGATTATTCTGGAGGATGTTCCATGTGCGAAAAGAATGTATATTCTGTTGCTCTGGGAGGTTATATTCTATATGTATCTGTTAAGGCCATGTGGCCTAAAGTGTCACTCAAATATACTGTTTCCTTATTCATTTTCTGTCTTCATGGTCTACCCACTGATGTAAGTGGGGTGTTAAAATCCCCTACTACTGTTGTCTTACCATCAATTTCTCCCTTTGTATCTGTTAATATTACTTCACAGTGTTCCAGTGTCTGGTAAGCATTTACAAGTGTCCTATCCTCTTGTTGGACTGTTCCCTTTATCATGATGTAATGCCCTTCCTTGTCTCTTGTCACAGTCTTTGTTTTAAAGTTGGTTTTGTCTACTTTGTCTGATATAAGTATTGCCACCCTTGCTTTTTTTCCCAATTTCCATTTGCATGGAACATCTTTTTCCATATGACAATTCTTAAAATTTAAAAAGATAAAGTAGCTTAAAAATTAATCAAGTATTTCTTGATTCAACAAATTAGAAAATTCACTACCAAAAAGGTTGACCAAGAAAACACTTAAAAGTGATCCTTGATTTTTAAGTGCTAATATTAATACTTCTTATGTAAATTTTTAAAGATTTTATTTATTTTTTTATCAGAGCAAGCACAAGCAGAGGGAGCAGCAGAGACGAGACAGAAGTAGGCTCCCCACTGAGCAGGGAGCCTGATGTGGGACTTGATCCCAAGACCCAGGGATCATGACCTGAGCCAAAGGCAGACACTTAAGTAACTGAGCCACCCAGGCATCCCTGTAAGTATTTTGTTTTGGTTTACTACTGCTACAATTTAGTCATTGATTACATGCAATTGCCACTTTGGATAGCTGACATTATAACGAAGTATGGTATATTTGAAAAGTTAATACTCAAATAAAATAAACAAAATATAGATACCCATATCCATCTGAGAAAAACTAATATTAATCTTCTCTTCTCCTACTTAATTTTAAGTTCATAAAAAAAAAAAGAACATTGCAGATTTTCAAATATAAAAATCTATTCCACCTAAAGAAAAAAATACATGATGAAACTTTATAGTACTGTTCTTGGGAAACAGGGTGAATACACATCTTTTTAATCTCATGTGCGTATACTGGCTTCCTATAGTTATCATAGGACACACGAGTAGATACACAAGCTATGCAATGGTATATCCAAATACACCTACAGTGTTATCTTTTTTATTCAGAGATTAATTTTCAGCACCCTCAACCATCCCACCCTAGGTAAAATGGGGGAGAAAAGTCCTTTGAGCCATTATATAGTCTGCATTTTACTTTGTAAAAGCAGCAAACAGAAGATCGCAAGGAGTTTATGAATAAGTCTTTTACAAAAATAAAACAAAACCAACTCAAAAAATTTGTATTATCTTTCAGACCTCCCAAGATTAAAAAAAGAAAGATTAGAAAAAAGATTAAATGTGAAGCAATCTGTGAAGCAGGGAGGCAGCAGGAGTTGGCAGGAAGAGCAACAGATAAAAGCACTATCAAGCTGTAGGGCACCTGGGTGGCTCAGTCCTTGGGTGCCCTGACACCTGATCTGGGCTCAGGTCATGATCTCAGGGTCATGGGATCGAGTCCCGTGTCAGGCTCTGTGCTCAGCATGGAGTCAGGGATTCTCTATCTTCCTCTGCTCCTCCCCTTTCCACTCGGACGCTTGCTTGCTCTCTAATAAATAAATGAGTAAGTAAATAAAGTCTTAAAAAAAAACCCACACATACTATCAAGCTGCAATCATACTCAACCATGGGCATGTGCAGATGGATCACTCTAGATTTTAACGTCTCTTAAATGACCTCAGAGATCCACTATGTGAAGTAACTTACACTTGAACTCGGGCACAAATATGAATTTGCCCAATACAAAAGGAGCCCACGTGACTAATGCTAGAGTCCGGTATTTACATCTTAACATGTCTTTGCTCTCTACGCCACTGCTGGTGATACCAAGTGGAAAGAGCTAGGGAAGTGATGATGTCTAGCTAGAAAATACACATTTTGGGTGAATTAAAGCACAAGTTGTTTATATGAGTATGATATTTCCCTCTAAGAAGGTCTTTATAACTGTGAGAAATCTTCTTGTTATACGATTTACAGAGATAATGCATGTTAAATCTCTTGGTAAATGGTGATGAGCTAAACATTATGTAAAGCATTGGTACTAATGGACACATAGGTAGATCATGGGTCCTAAAAAAGAAGGAATGTTTTTGGGGCGCCTGGGTGGCTCAGTGGGTTAAAGCCTCTGCCTTCGGCTCAGGTCATGATCTCAGGGTCCTGGGATCGAGCCCCACATCAGGCTCTCTGCTTGGCAGGGAGACTGCTTCCTCCTCTCTCTGCCTGCCTCTCTGCCAACTTGTGATCTCTGTCAAATAAATAAAAAAAATCTTTAAAAAAAAAAAAAAGAAGGAATGTTTTATATTTTGTTCTTACCATAGCATTTTAAAGATTTCAGCATTGTCAAAACACTTATTTAAACAGAATAAGCTTCCATGTTCTTATCTTCTACTATGGATATCAGTCACATGAAAGACTTGTGACAACAAACCATATCATAACCACATTTCCCCCAAACAATGTTTAAGCTATCTTCCAATCACAGTACTATAGATCACTGTTAGGAATAGTATCTTACCCCCTGTCCAAGAACATCATATAATCCAAGTAACGTTGTTGGTACATATTTTCAAATACTAGATATAAAGAGGCATACAAATTTGGAACTTCAGGTGAGTGAAGACTTAATAGTTAACATTCTGGTTGTAATACTCTTTCAAAGTTAAGTAAAGAAACTGGAAAACATTCTGGAAAGGGGAGAACAATGGGCTTTAGAATAATAAACACTCTGGTCCAAATAAGAGAAACCAGTTTTAAAGAAATTTGCAAGCACTTCTGAATATACTTGAACCTTCACCTACCTTTTTGCACATACTGATCTGCATGACTGCATAGCTTATGAGGGCCTCCTTTAAATCATGGTTCTTTTGTTCTTTGAAGCGTTCAATATCAGCCCAAGCATTTTTCACAAATTCTCTGAAATAAAGTGTGTAGTCATCATTATTATTCTTATTCAAATTCAGCTCACTATATTATAAATTCTAATAACCAGTTCTCATTTGCATTGGTTTTTATCTATATGGAGGAAAAAGCTATCATCTGTATAAGATATTCTATTTTTTTCTTCCTAAAAAGCATACTAGGAGAAGCAGGAGAGATAGTCATACATTCGTCTACATTTTAATAATCAATATTCTTGCCACAAGAATCCCAGCTTTAAATTATTCCTATAAAACAGCTGTGGATGGCTCTCTGAACCAGCTCACAAGCCTAACAGAGGCCAGGTGAAGTCCTCCTGGGGTCACTAGAAAACACACACTCTTTTGACAACATATATTATTTATCACAATTATTATATACTTGCCCTTTTTTAAAATAACTTCATGTGTTTTTTTTTTTTTCCCAAGATTTTATTTATTTATTTGACACAGAGAGAGAGAGAGAGAGAGTACGTACAAGCAGGGGGAGCTATAGGCAGAAAGGAGAAGCAGGCTTCCCCCTGAGCAGGGAGCCTGATGTGGGGCTCAATCCCAGGACCCCAAGATCATGATTTGAGCCAAAGGCAGATGCTTAACTGAACCACCCAGGCGCCCCTATACACTTGCTTTAAACAACCAGAGTTTTAAAAATTCTGAGAGGCATTTGTCTCTTTAAATTCCATTCATAAAAGTTTGCTTTTACTTATTTGGTACAAACAGTTCTAACAATTAACAAAAATACCTCAACACCAATGATAGATAACACTGTTGGTCTGCCTTCATCTACTTATCATCAGATGAAAAACAACAGCAAGGAAAATAAGCGAAAAAGCGATGCCAGAACTTTGACAGCAGCATTTCCAGAAATATTTATGGAGTAATTACATGCCAAGCCCAATGCAAGATGTTAAAACATAAAGATGAAAAAGACACAGTCATTGGCTTTGAAAGGCACTTAATTTAGGCAGGGACAATCACAGAGAACTGACGACCCAAAACAAAACTGCCATGCTATCGTGGCATGAACCAAGGGCTATGAGAGCCTGTAAGGCTAGCAGTGAAAGGAAGCAGCATGACAGCTGGGAAATGAAGAACCATCAGGCTTTTGTCAAGTGATGGAGAAGAAAGGGTGAAAGGAATGTGCAAAGGACAGAAATTAGGAAAAGTGCAGGAACCTAATATTGTAAGTTGAAAGTCTTCTTACTCTTTTCCCCATAATAAAACTGTTTCTATAACATGATTTTCGATCATTCAAATTCCTTAGGAATTCAATCACTACATTTTATTTCTTTAAAGATTTATTTATTTATTTATTTGAGAGAGGGGGAAAGTGTGCATGAATAGGGGGAGGGGCAGAAGGAGGGACAGAAAATTTGAAGCAGAATCCACACCTAGCGCAGAGCCTGACGCGGGGCTCAATTCCACAACTGCAATATCACGACTTGAGCCGAAACCGAGAGACAGACACTTAACTGAGCCACCCAGGTGCCCCTCAATCTCTACAGTTTAGAAAAACCATTATGGTGGCACCTGCCTGGCTCGGTCAGAGAAGCCTGTGACTCCTGATCTCAGGGTTGTAAGTTCAAGCCCCACACTAGGTATAGAGACTACTAAAAAATAAAATCTTAAAAAATAATGCCCTGGAAGAATAGGCTATAATGCAGGAATGTTAATGAGGTAGGGACAAGGTATAAAAAAAAAATCTGCCATGTAGTACGTATGTCTAGCTTTGTTACACATCTCAGCATTTTTACCTGCCTTCCAGATTTTTAGACTTTAATTGTTGTTCTCCTTCATTTATTTGTTCTTCTAGCACCTTTATTCTGGCTTCTCTCTGTTCTGGAGTTTCTTGACCAAAGAGCTTGGTAGTCATTCCCTTCAAAGAAAACGTTCTCACAGTCTAAAAGGAAATAAAACAGGTGAGTGGATACACAAAATGTGGCACATATGTACAAAGAATTATTATTCGGCCTGAAAAAGGGAATTCTGACACATGATACTACAAGGATGAACCTGAGAACATTATGCTAAGTGGAAATAAACAAGTCACAAGAAAAATATTGTATTATTTCACTTAATGTGAAGTATCTAGAGCAGTCAAAGTCATAGAGACAGAAAGCAGAACAGTGACTGCCAAGGGCTGGAGTGAAGGGAAATTGATAGTTGATGTTTAATGGTACAGAGTTTCAATTTTCAACAGGAAGAGAGTTCTGAAGGTTGGCTGCACAACGATGTGAATGTACTTACTACTACTGAACCGTACACTTCAAAATGGTTAAGATGATCCCTAGTATAACCATTCTTTAACCCATGCTCTCGTAAAACTGCTTTTAATTCATATCAGTGTAAATTCAATAGGTGTACTAATTTTTTCCCACTATTTTGTAAGCTTGAAATCATAAGACTTTAAAAAGAAAAATACAGGGCGCCTGGGTGGCTCAGTGGGTTAAGCCGCTGCCTTTGGCTCAGGTCATGATCTCAGGGTTCTGGGATCAAGCCCTGCATCGAGCTCTCTGCTCAGTGGGGAGCCTGCTTCCCCCATTCTCTCTGCCTGCTTCTCTGCCTACTTGTGATCTGTCTGTCAAATAAATAAATAAATAAATAAATACTTAAAAAAAAAAAAAAAAACCACACACACACAGAAAGAAAAATACAGATGCCTGGGTGGCTCAGTGGGTAGAGCATGTGACTCTTGATCTCACGGTTTTGAGTTCAAGCCTCACATTAGGTGTAGAGATTACTGAAAAACAAAATCTTCCAGGGTAGGTAGATATATACATAAATAAATAGAAAAAGAAAAAGAGAAAAACCCCAGTTTAAAAAGAGAAAAAACCAGCTTAAAAAAATGGTTGAGCTGACAAATTTTGCTATGTATATTTAAACCACAATTAAACATTTTTTAAAAAAAGAGAAACAAAGGGGCGCCTGGGTGGCTCAGTGGGTTGAGCCGCTGCCCTCGGCTCGGGTCATGATCTCAGGGTCCTGGGATCGAGCTCCATATTGGGCTCTCTGTGTCAAATAAATAAATAAAATCTTTTTTTTTTTTTTTAAGATTTTATTTATTTATTTGACAAATAGAGATCACAAATAGGCAGAGGCAGGCAGAGAGAGAGGAGGAAGCAGGCTCCCTGCTGAGCAGAGAGCCCGATGTGGGGCTCCATCCCAGGACCCTGGGATCATGACCCGAGCTGAAGGCAGAGGCTTTAACCCACTGAGCCACCCAGGTGCCCAATAAATAAAATCTTTTAAAAAAAGAGAGAAACAAAAACTTTTGCCATTTTCCCCGTACCTCAGACAGAAGCCTCTTAAGTCTTATAACCAAGGGGCTCCTAATATGATTCCTAACACTGGAATAATATGGAATAGTCAAAAAGAAAAAAATTCTAACTGAACTTCTTATCGAATGGAAAACTTCTACATGAAGTATTAGGCAAGTTATTTCTTTAGATCAGAGGTCATATTTTTTATATTTCTTTAGGGCATTAAAAAATAGATAAAATTCAACAGGCAATAAAGGAAATAGACCAAACACACACAAAGAAACAAAAAAAAATTTTAATCTGTATAACACACACTGAAACTTGGGTATCTATCTATAAAATAGGATGCCTTCGCTTGGAGGGAAGCCTCAAACATCGCAGCTTCAACACCTCCTCACTCTCCAGAGTTTACTGAAACACTTTTCCCTTCACATGGAGGAGTAGAGAACCCTGCTCCCTGAAAATGGCCTGGGAAGTTCCCGAGTTTTAAAAATAAATCAAGCCTAGTGTATTCATGTTTTGTGGCCAACAGTCTTTTCCCACATACATCTGCAGCTTTTCAGACATACCGAAGTACTTGCTAACTATGAAGCGGCTGATAAATGGTGGCACTGTCACTGTTCCATTATTTCCAGGTTGTGTATTCTCACTACACTTTATTCCAAGAAAATGGCTGGACAGTGGAAAACTATAAAACAGTGGAAAATTATAAAAACGGTCTAAGGTTCATACAATAAGATATGGAATTTTCTTCACAAATATTCACTGTATACCAAAAGCTCCTTCTTAGCAAAGTTGATTTTAACTGGGTAAGGCTTTTCAAAGTAAACTAAAATTTCTCTAATATATTTTATAAAAGTAAACCTGACAAAGGTCATTATTTCATCACAAAGAATAATGTTTTTTTCATTTGGACTTACCATAAATGAAAAGATACTTACTACAAAGAGCAATGTTGGCAGAATTTTTTTTTTAAGATTTTATTTTAAGTAATCTGTACACCCCATGTCAGGCTCGAACTCACAACCCTGAGGTCAAGAGCTGCATGCCCCACTGACTGAGCCAGCCAGGTGCCCTGGCAGAATTTCTTAAAATGCCATATAAATACAATGTTTTAATGGCTTATGTCTTTTTATATCAAGATCACAACCCAAAGAATTATAAAGTTGCCCATAAATTATTCCCCTATTAAAAGCTATAGGCATCCTGAATATTATAGCTACAGCTGCTTCCTTATATGGCTTGTGGCAATGATGCAGAGACCTAAATGGAAACACTCACCCCAGTTGCCAGTTCCTCACATTGCTGCTTTTTGGATGCTAAGTCCTGAGCAGCCATCTCCAAGTCATACTGCATAAGTTCATGTTTCCTGCATACAGCCCTAGGGATGAAAAAAAGTGCTGCCATTTAATTTTTGTGGCTTCTTTTATAACATATTAAAATTTTTTTCAGGGGATGAGGGGAAGCATCCAGAATGTCTTACTAGGCTCAGAACTAGTGTAGATAGAATTTCAAGTTTAAAATGTAGTAGCCCAATATTAAAAATTAAATCTAGCAGAACCTAAGCATAAAAATTTTACATATACTTAACAAAAGAGGGCTGCTTTTTAGATATCTGCGACATTTTTTTTCAATAAACTCACCATTACTACATAAACGATAAAATCTTTTGTATAACTCAGAAACTAATGGTGGAATCTTAGAAACCAACTGAATATTCTGTGAAAAGATCTCTCAACGTTTTCTTTTTTATACAGAAATGTCTTAGTTTTGAGATGCCTAGGTGGCTAAGTTGGCTAAGTGTCCTACTCTTGACTTTGGCTCAGGTCATGATTTCAGGGTCGTGAGACTGAGCCCGGGGTCAAGCTCTGTGCTCAGCGTCTGCTTGAGAGTCTCTTCCTTCTCCTTCTGCCTGCCCTGGCTCCCTGCTTGCACACATGCCCTCTCTCTCTTTCAAATAAATAAATCCTAGAAAAAAAATGCCTTAGTTTTTATCATAAAATCCACAGCATTAAAAAAAAAAAAAATTCTACTACAGGAATGAACGAAATAAAAAAAGTTTCACGAATTCTTTCTTTTCCCTAACTTCCAAACAAAATCTATATGAACAGATGGTGCATATTCTGCCAGATCACAGGTAGGCACTTACAAATACACATATGCCTATGCCTCAAGTGATTCTACATCTCATCTTACTTAACTATGTACCATGGACATATCAATATACATTAATCTTTCCTACAGTGCTTAAGAACTATGCAGAATTCCACTGCATTCAGCAACTTTCTTTTGCTTTGTAATGTGACCTTGGACTCCTGACGACTCAAAGTCTTAGAAGGAACAGGGCTAACAATGTGTGGACATTTTCACACTAGTTACCGAAGAGCTAAAGGAAAATCGGTGCTGTGGTGTCCTAACAGAATTCTTATACTGCTTTTAAAGTGATGGGATATTTAGGGGGAAAAAAAAAAAATGATGGAAAAATAACCAAAAGTGGCTATGACCAAAAGCCACCTATTCCAGGAAAACGATTAATTTTTTAAAAATTGGACAGAAAAAGTATACTACTTTCTTCTTTATTAAATAGAACTATACACCAGAGAATTCTGTTTGGCTCTGTAAGAGATACCATAAAAACAGAAGACAGAGTGCTGATATTAAGAACTTACACAAACTTAGTAAGAAGAAAAGCAGACGTGGAAAGAATTACAGAATAAAAATGGCAACATACTGCCTAGTGACAAGGCTACATACACTCAATCTGTATTTTGCATCCAATCTACAAACTGAAAAAAGCAGAACAACATACGAAACAAACCTGAGGTTGGAGACTGACAAGTTTTATCAATATTGTTTCAAGAACAGAGCTTGTCTTAAATGTCTATGCCTATCACTCTGCAACACAATGAGACCTCATTCAATACTTGGGGGATGAATTCATTTAAAAATCACCTTACTATCTTTACTTTCTGGCAACATATGAAGAGTGGTAACCAGCCAGCCACACGGCTACATCTGGAACATTTATTATACTTACCGCAACGCTTCTGCATAAAACAGATACTCCTTTAACTGATCTGCATAATGTTCTTCATCTTCTAAAATATCATCAATAGAAGATGCATACCTGTTTAAAAAACACTGCATATAAACTTTTATCATGATACAAAGTATTAATGATCAAAAGCAATGCTATTTGCTACCCCTAACAAAAGTAAGTACACAAAATGAGAATAAGCATTCAGACATGGCAATTTTTAATTACCATGAAAATTTTACTGAATTTTACCAAAATGTTTCAACCAGCAATGGTTTGGAAATTAAAACAAACAAACAAAGGTCCTTCTTACAGGTAGCTTAAGCAGCACCGGAAGACTATAATATCTTTTGTTCAAAGATATTTTATGAAGGGGCTACAAAATCTGTGGAAAAAATAAGACTTTAGTGTAATTGGTGCTCAGATGTTCCTGGCAGCAACTACATACAGTGTCCCTAAAAGCTACAAAAGGAAAAATAGACTAAGACTACAAAAAACTTTAGAAGCCTTATTTTATACTAATTCTCAATAGCAACCTGTGCTTTGATCTGGTCAAGCTCCTCACTGTCATGCCATTCTCTTTCCTGGACCTGAGTCCTTCCTCGTACAGAAATCTGACAGCTCTCCACACTGTTTCTCCAAATCCTACAAGCATATATCTCAGCACCACTGGGAAATCTTCCCAGACTACTTCAGTCCTTAGTCATCACTCTACTTCTGATCTTTTTTTTTAAGATTTTATTTATTTATCTATTTGAAAGACAGAGAGTGTGCATGAGCAGGGGGAGGGGCAGAGGGAGAAGCAGGCTCCCTGCTGAGCAGAGACGACTCAAGGCTTGATCCCAGGACCCCAAGATCATGACCTGAGCCAAAGTCAGCCACTTAATCCACTGAGCTACAATCTAGGTGCCCCCCACTTCTGATCTTTTATCAACAATTCACAACTTATATTTTATCAAATGTGTCATGTGTTGGTTTTATTTCTTCAATCATATTACAAATTCCATAAGGACGTGGGTTATGTCATGTACTATTTCTGTATGGTGTAATAGGCGTCCTTTTTCTCAAATTAATTCTGACCTCTTGGCATGAGAAAGAAAGAAAAATATATACTATGTCTCCAGACCTGCTTTATGTAGGCAAGAAAACAAGTTACTGGAGTTGTAAAAATAAATAAATAAACCTACATTAAGAGTCACTAAAAAGCTATGTGCTTAAAGGATTTATAAAACAGGCAAAGTACATATTCTGTAATTACAAACTTGTATTTGTATGGAACTTCTTTTATGTGACTGAAGAAAGTCTTGAGAATCACTGGTAAGAGTGGGAAAAACTGCCTTTAATTCATAAATCTGTGATTCTCAAAGAGTTCATGTTAAGGAAACAAGAGAGAGGAACCACAGGGTTGGTGGCTTGAAGACAGGAAACAGTGAACAGATAAATAGCCATCCTTGGGTAGGAAAATATAAGTGCTAATGACTTTTAGATAGCAGTACTGAAATTAATTGTATTTAATGCTTTAAATAAATCAACTGAAGGGATAATCCTAAATTCCTGAAAATGCTAAATCAACAGAATACAGGAAAACTTCTTAGGGTTAAGCAAATTGGTTGGGAAGTAGCCAGTTAGCTTGAATATGGCCCAAAGAAATATTTAGCTAAAATAAGTATTTTTTGTCTCTTTATTACTGAGTTGTAAGAGTTCTTTATATACTGTGCTTGGAAATGTTTATTCCTAGTCACTGGCTTGCCTCTTCAATATTTTAATGGTATCTTGTGTGTGTGTGTGTGTGTGTGTGTGTGTGTGTTAAATAAACATAGAATTTACTTTGTAATAATTTTTACATGTAGTTAAGTGGCATTAAGTACATTCACACTGTTCTGCAAACTTTAACCACTATCACCACAACGCCTTCATCTTCTCTAACACTAACTACCCACATTCCTCCCCACCTATAATAGTATCTTCTGATAAGCAAAATATTTAATTTTGATAAAGGACAATTCACCATTTAAAAATTTTTTTCATGTTCTCTTTAAGAAATCCTTGCTAATTTGAAGTTTGCAATGATATTCTCTTTTGTATTCTACTAAAAGCTGTAATTTTAGCTTTTATACTTATGTATATGATCCAAATTACATTAGTTTTTATGTAAGGTATGAGAAATAGCTCAAGGTTAATTTTTTTCCATGTAGATAACCAGTTATTCCAGAACCACTTCTTGAAATGTACTATTTAAATGCTGGTCTATTTCTGGACTTTATTCTGTTCCACTGATCTCTTTACCTTTGTGTCAAATCCTATCTTGATAATTACTGGATCTTTATAGTAAGTCTTGAAATCAAGTAATATGGGGCGCCTGGGTGGTTCAGTTGGTTAAGCAACTGACTTCAGTTCAGGTCATGATCCCGGAGTTCCAGGATCAAGTCCCACATCGGGCTCCCAGCCCCATGGGGAGTCTGCTTCTCCCTTTGACCTTCTGCCCTCTCATGTTCTCTCTCTCTCTCTCAAATAAATAAATAAAAATCTTTTTAAAAAATCTAAAAGAGAAAGAAAGAAAGAAAGAAATCAGGTAATAAGTTCCAGGTTTGTTCATTCTCAAGACTGTTTTGGCTACTCTAGGTCCTCTGAATTTCTATGTAAGCTTTAGAATTAGTGTAACAATTTCCATTAAAAAGTTATCAGAATTTTGACTGGGACTGCAGTTTGGGAAGAATGGACATATTAACACTACTGAGTTTTCTAATCCATAAAGACATACATTAATTCTCTCCATTTATTTAGGTCTTTAACATTTTCTCTCAGCAGTGTTTATATATGAAGTCTTTATTAATCTGTAAAATTTTGTTTTGATGCTATTATAAAAAGTATTGCTTTTCAATTTGTTGCTAGTATATAAAAACGCTTTATTTTTTTTATTTTAAAGATTTTATTTATTTTTTTATTTGACAGACAGATCACAAGTAGGCAGGGAGGCAGGCAGACAGAATGGGGGAAGCAAGCTTCCTGCTGAGCAGAGCCCAATGCAGGGCTCGATGCAGGGCTCGATCCCAGGACCCTGAGATCATGACCTGAGCCAAAGGCAGCAGCTTAACCCACTGAGCCACCCAGGCGTCCCAACAGTTTTATTTTTAATACACTGATCTTATATTTGGCATCCTTGTTAAATTCAGCTGTTAGTTCTATAATATTTTTGGTTGATTCTTTATGATTTTCCATGTAAAGGATCCTGTTAACTACAAAAAAAGATAGTTTTAATTCTTCCTTTTTAAGACTAATGCCTCTTACTTGTTTTTTTCTAGCCTGAGTAGGGCTTACTAGTACACTGTTTACAGGAAGTGGTAAGAGCAGACAACCTTGCCTTATTCCTTGGAAAAAGCATCAATATTTCACTATTAAATACAGTATTATCTCTAAGTTTTCATTTTTAATATTTCACTATTAGGTACAATACTAGTTTTAAGTTTTAAACTGAAGAAATTCCTTTTATTCTTGGTTTGATGAGCATTTTTATTGTGAGTGGATGCTGAAATGTTTTTCTTCATGTACTGAACTTAACATGCAGGTGATCTTTATTCTACTAATACATGAACTGGACTGATTTGATTTTTGAATGTTTTTAAATTAACCTTCATTCCTGAAATAAACTTGTCTAAGTCAGATCTGGATCCACAGTGTATAATAGAAAAGCCAGCACAATTGATAAAAACAGAAGAATCACTAACATTTTACCACTAGACTTCACCCCAGGTTTTACCTTAACTGTTCTAGGTACTTACACATCCATATGGTGACCAGCACTCTGCAGTCCATCACCCATTTCTTTCTCTATGGCACTCCACTCACTAGGGAGAAAAAGATAAAACCAAGCACACCATGAATTAGATATGGAATATTTTCAAAAGGGGTATTTTATAAGGTTTCTTTCCTAGCTACCTTTTAAACAATAGAGCATCTGTATTTGGATTTATTTTCTGTGACTCAAATATGCTGCTTTCCCCTTAAGTTTAACAACTAAATGCAAGTGAAAGCTTTAAACTGTTAGTTTAAAACTTGCTATCAGCTGCTGCGAAGTGCAAAGTAGCTTGCATCTGCTTACAGACAACATTCTCAACTAGGGTGCCTATTTAAGTCAATTTGTCAAGTCAAAGTCAACAGGTTTGAGAAACTATGGGTGTTAGCCCTGTTCTTGATTTACTTAATCAGAATCTCTGGGGTGGAGCTGAGATATGTGTACTTTCTAAAGCTCCATGGATGATTCTGATGAACACATTTAAGCTAACAAAAAAGATGACTGTACAGAAACATTAGGTACATAGTAAAGCTTCAATAATTGTACTAAAGTTGATGAGAAAGTCTATTAGAACTATAGATCATTTTGTCATTTCGGGTTTTTTTTAAAGATTTACTTTATTATTTTTAAGTAATCTCTATACCAAACATGGGGCTTGAACTCACAACCCCAAGACTCAGAGTCACATGATCTACCGACTGAGCCAGCTAGGCACCCTTTGTTGTCATTTCTACATAAGCCTCTTCAATTGCACTGTATCATAAAAGAAAAACATTTAAACACTATTATTTTGTTACCATGTAGTTTTTATATATATTTTTATGTTGTTGAAATAGCAGATTATATGCTTACAGTATTAGAAGGAAGAAAACCTCATGATTTTTAGTATTTGTCAAAGCAAAACAAATATATAAATCACCTACGCAATACTATGGTTATGATAAAAAAACAAAATAGGTAAGGCTCCCTCTAATACTTTTCTTTCTTTATATGTCTGTAACTACTCTCAAGATAGTAATAGCAAATTAACCTTTTTTTTTTTTAAATAAAGCTACATTTATAATGCCTACAGGACAATTCTGCTTTTATACAACTCTGTCACCTCAAATTCAATATATCCAAAGCCCTGTTCTTCACATGAGAAAGGAACCTAAGGGTTTTGGCAGATGACAAATACAACTAGCCAAAAATGAAATGCAGTGATCATATTTAATGTAACTGTAGGTCATGTTACCAGAATTAATGCTATGCGGCATCTGGGTGGCTCAGGCAGTTAAGCAGCTGACTCTTGATTTCAGCTCAGGTCGTGATCTCAGGGTTGTGCGATTGAGCCCTGTGTGAGGTAAGATTCTCTATCTTCTTCTGCCCCTCTCCCTGTCCTAGCCTCTCTCTCCCCCTTTCTCTTAAAAAAAAAAAAAAAAAAAAAATCAACAGTCCAGATGAACTGTCTATTGGCTATCCCAAAAGTACTTCATTCATTTAGTTAATCTTTGAGCACCGTACTATGTACCACCAACTCAAGGCCAACATAACCAATTTAGTTTCTCTGTTTACCAAACAAGACAAAAACTAGTTCAAGGAAGTAGGACTCACGCTTTATCACCTATGTATGCCTATTAAGTAGTTTAGAGCCTGATAAATACATGGTATTTACAGCTTGCAGGTAAAATGAAAAAAATGAAACAATAAGTGAATTAATAAATGTGAGGAGGGAAACTATACTGGATTCTACCTAACAGCACAAGACCTCAAGGTACGTATAGTCTTAGCTCTCTGCTACTCAAACTGTGGTCTAGCAACAGCATGACCTAGAATTTCATTAGAAATGCAGGATCAGGGGCGCCTGGGTGGCTCAGTGGGTTGGGGCCTCTGCCTTCGGCTCGGGTCATGATCTCGGAGTCCTGGGAATGAGCCCCGCATCGGGCTCTCTGCTCCGCGGGGAGCCTGCTTCCTCCCCTCTCTCTCTGCCTGCCTCTCTGCCTACTTCTGATCTTTCTGTCAAATAAATAAATAAAATCTTTAAAAAAAAAAAAAAAATGCAGGATCACAGGGATGCCTGGGTGCCTCAGATTGTTAAGTGCCTGCCTTCAGCTCAGGTCCTGATCCCAGGGTCCTGAGATCAAGTCCCGCAACAGGTTCCTTGCTCAGCAGGAAGCCTGCTTCTCCCTCTTACTGCCACTACCCCTGCTTGTTGGTGTGCTCGCTCTCTCTGACAAATAAATAAAATCTTAAAAAATAAAAGGTAAATAAATAAATAAATGCAGGATCACAAAACCCATTCTAGATCTACTGCACCAAAATATTCATTTTCCATACCTCTGTCACCTTAAATTTGATATATATAGTTCAAATATAGTTCTCCAGGTGATCTATATGCCCATTAAAATTTAAGAAGCACTACTAAACAAAAGGTTCTAACCTGGGGTCCAAGGATATATATAGCATTGGAAATAGGAAATGTTAACCAGGTTACAGTGGAGAGGAGGAAACCATTAACATAAAAAGAACTATTAAAGGGTAGTTTTTAACATCAACATTTAGATTTAACATCAACATTAGAAGAGGAATAACTGAATCTTAAAGTACTTAATGGGTAGGGAATTGTCACAGAGGAATCAGATCAAAAAAAGCCTTGGCTCTTCTGTAGAAACTGATGAAAACTATGGACGTTTCCCTAAGAAGGAAAAAAAAAATCACAAACAAAATTTGGCATGGAATTTCAGAAACTTCTGACAACCTGAAGTCCATCTATGAACTATAGGGGAGCCTGGCGGGCTCAGTCAGTAGATCATGCAACTCTTGATCTCAGGGTTGTAAGTCCGAGCTCCACTTTAGGTGTAAAGATTACTTAATATTTTTAAGGGGTGGCTCAGTTGGTTAAGCACCCAACTGTGTTTGTATATTAATATATTTATAGAATTACATTTTACTACAGGGATGCATAAGAAAACTGTATTAGCTGTCTCAGAGGAGACCTGGGTGGTTAACAGAGAAGGGAGACTTTTCACTGTAAAAGCTTTTATACCTATTGAATTTTGTGCCATATGAATGTATTACCTATTTAAAAATATAAAATGAATCATTTTTAAATTAATCCAGTCAAAAGGACTTATAATGCAACATTAGCAAGACATTTTCTTATAAAAATATTTGGATAACTTCTAAGATGTCACAACCAAAATAATTAATACACACAAAAAAATCACAAAAGGCTCAAAAATAACCACAACATGCAAGCACTATACACAAGTAAATATTCTAAATTAACAAAAAAAACTGCCCCAAGACTGAAAAACTCTCTTGCAAAATCCTTCAAAATTTATAAAGTAACACCAAGAAAGAAAAAAAAGTGTATCACTAATTCTATAAAACAGTGATTTCCAATGGAATCTTCTTGGGCATTCTGACAACAAAATAAAGGGCACTGGTCATAGCTTCAGGGTAGTTTCATTTTCATCTGCTCAACATATTGGATTTCTTATTTTTTATTGAAAGAAATAATTTATTTTATTTTATTTTAAAATTTTTCATTAACATATAATGTATTATTTGCCTCAGGGGTACAGGTCTGTGAATCATCAGGCTTACACACTTCACAGCACTCACCATAGCACATACCCGCCCCAGTGTCCATAACCCAACCACCCTCTCCCTACCCCCCACCACCCAGCAACCCTAAGTTTGTTTTGTGAGATTAAGAGTCTCTTACAGTTTGTCTCCCTCCCCAGTCCCATCTTGTTTCATTTTTTTCCCTCCCTACCCACCACGACCCCCTACCACGACCCCCCACCCAACCTCTCAAATTCCTCATATCAGAGAGATCATATGATAATTGTCTAAGAAATACTTTAAAACAAAAACTTTGAAAACTACTATTATAGGACATCGCTTCAAAACAAAATTCTTTGAGGAGCTAGTCAAAAGATAAAATTGGTAAACCTTTGGCCAGACTCAAGAAAAAAAGAGACCCAAATAAAATCAGAAATTAAGGAAAAGAAATAAAAACCAACACCAACCAAAAAAAAAAAAAAAAACAAGCAAGAATAAATTATCTAGTATAAATCAAAATCAAAATGAAGTATCACCTTATATATATCAGTATGGCTAAAATAAAAAAAAAAAAAACACACAAGAAATAACAACAAAAAACCCCAACACCACAGATATAAAAAGAATTACAAGAGAATACTATGAAAAATTATATATGCCAACAAACTGAACAACCTAGAGGAAATGGGTAAAATTCCTAGAAACAGAGCCCTCCAGAACTGAATTAGGACGAAATAGAAAATTTGAACAGACTGATTACTTGCAATAAAAATGAAACAGTTTAAAAAACAAAACAAAACAAAAAAAACCTCCCAACAAACAAAAGTCTAAGATCAGATGACTACACAAGTAAATTCTACCAAACATTTAAGAAAGAGCTAATACTTATTCTCAAACTAAATTCATTCTACAAGGCCAGCACTGTCCTGATACCAAAACCAAACCAAACCAAACTACAGGCCGATATCTCTGATGAACGTAAATGCAAAAACTCTCAAAAAAATATTAGCAAATCAAATTCAACAATAAATACATTAAAAGGATCTTTTCCAATAGTCAAGTGGGGTTTATTCTAGTAATGCAAGGGTGGTTCAATATTCACAAATCAATCACAATATATCACATTAAAAGAGAAAGAATAAAAACCATATAATCATCCATAAATGCAGAAAAAGCATCTGATGAAGTCTAACACTCATTCTTGATAAAAACTCTCAACAAAGTGGGTTTAGAAGGAACATACCTCAACATTAATAAAGGCCATATATGAAAAATCCACAGTTAACATCATACTCAATGCTGAAAAACTGAAACCTTTTCCTCTAAGATCAGTAAAGGAATAAGGATGTCAATGCTCACCACTGTTAACAGGACTCAAGTCCTAGCCACAGCAAGCAGACAAGAAAAAGAAATACAAGTCATCCAAATTGGTAAGGAAGAAGTAAAAAGTTCACTATTTGCAAATGACATGATACTAGATACAGAAAACCCTAAAGATTCCACCATAAAACTACTAGAACCAATAAAGAATTCAGTAAAGTTGCAGGACACAAAATTGATATACAGAAAACTACTACATTTCTGTACACTAATAATGCAACAGAAAGAAAAATTAAGAACCACTTATAACTATCACTAAAAATAAAAATACCAAAGAGGTGAAAGACCTGTCATCTCTGAAAACTATAAAAACTGATGAAAGAAATTGAAGAGGACACAAATATTCATGGACTCAAAGAACCAATATTGTTAAAACGTGTCACACTATCCAAAGCAATCTAGAGATTTAAATGCAATCCCTATCAAAATACCAAACAGCAGTTTTCATGGAACTAGAACAAATAATCCTAAAATCTGTGAGGAACCATAGAAGACCCCGAAAAGCCAAAGCAACCTTAAGAAAGAAAAACAAAGTTGGAGGTATCACAATACCAGATTTCAAGAAATACTACAAAGCTGTAGTAATCAAAACAATATGCTACTGGCACAAAAACAGATACATAAATCAATGGAACAGAATAGAAGCCCAGATATAAACATACACCTATGTGGTCAATCTACAATAAAGAAGGCAAGAATATACAAGGGAGGGGCGCCTGGGTGGCTCAGTGGGTTAAGCCTCTGCCTTCGGTTCAGCTCATGATCCCAGGGTCCTGGGATCGATCCCCACATCGGGCTCTCTGCTCAGTGGGGAGCCTGCTTCCCCCTCTCTCTCTGCCTGCCTCTCTCTGCCTACTTGTGATCTCTCTGTCAAATAAATAAATAAAAATCTTAAAAAAAAAAAAAGAATTACAATGGAGTCTCTTCAACAGACAGAGTCTCTTCAACAAATCTCTTCTACAAAAAAACTGGGCAGCTACATGTAAAAGAATGAAACTGGACCACTTTTTTGCACCACAAAAATAAACTCAAATGGATTAAAGTCAGAAAAGTGAGACCTGAAATCATAACTCTTAGAAGAAAACATAAGCAGTAACCTCTCTGACATCAGCCAAAGGAAACAATTTTCTAGATATGTCTCCTCAGATAAGATAAACAAAAGCCAAAATAAAAAGCATTTGTACAGTGAGGAAACAATCAACAAAATGAAAACACAACCTACTGAATGGGAAAAGGTATTTGCAAATGATGTATCTGATTAAAGGGTTAATATCAAAATATAAAGAACCTGTACAAACCAACAGCAAAACCCCACAAATAATCCAATTAAAAATAGGCAGAAGACCTAAAAAGACATTTTTTTCTAAAGAAGACATACAGGCAGACAAGAGACACATGAAAAGATTCTCAAGATCACTAATCACCAGGGAAATGCAAATCAAAACTATAATGAGGTATCACATCTGTCAAAATCGCCAGAATCAAAATGACAAGAGGTAACAAGTGTTGATGAGGATGTGGAGAAAAAGGAATCCTCCTGCACTGTCAGTAGGAATACAAACTGGTGCAACCACTCTGGAAAACAGTATGGAGCTTCCTCAAAAAATTAAAAACAGTATTACCATATGATCCAGTAATTCTAGTAGGAATTCACCCAGATTTTCTTTACCCATAGAAAACAAAAACCATAGAAAAAAAATCATCCATAGAAAAAATAAATTCTGAAAGATATATGCACCCCTATGTATGTTGCAACATTATGTATAATAGCCAAGATATGGAATCAACCCAAGTGTTTATACATAGGTGAACAGATAAAGATTTGAGCTAGAAATATATTTATATATTTATGTATATTCATACTCATATATATCTAGCTCACATCTTCTTTATCCATCGTGTGTGTACCATAAAAAAAGAATGAAATCTTGCCATTTGCAACAACATGAATGGACCTAGAGAGTATAACATTAAGTGCAGTAAGTCAGACAGAGGAAAACAAACACTATGATTTCACTCATATGTGGAATTTAGGAAACACAACAAAAAAAAGAGACAGACAAAAAAAAAAAACCTCTGGCTCTTAAATACCGAAAACAAACTGGTAGTTACCAAGGGGGTGGAGGGTATGGGGGGGGTTGGGAAATGGGTGAAATAGGTGAAGGGGATTTAAGAGTACACTTATCTTGATGAGCACTGAGAAATGTACAGAATTGTTCAATCATTACATTGTACACCTGAAACTAATATAACACTGGATGTTAAGTACACTTGAATAAAACATTAACTAATTACGCTGTAACATAAAAAAATAAATGAAAACTAAACTTCTACATTTCAGACGCATAAATGTTCAGGAATTATAGTTCTCAGGCAAAAAGCTAATTAGAGCTAATCAATTATTTTAGAAGCTTATATAATGCTCACCTGAAAACTCGCCCATAATTCCCATGTACTTTATATACACCATACAGTCGATCTGCAACTCTCTGGAACAAATTTTTAAAAGAAATTAATATTAGATCAAAGTTATACACACCTTTACTCTTTAAAAAAAAGAGAAACATTATCCTCATTTAAAAAAATGATTAGTACAATAAACTTGGAAAACATGAAAAAGAAAAAACTTTCATTTCCCAAAGTCTCATTATGGGAAGGCGGGGGAATACTGCTGCCATCATATTTATGTAACTGCTTTTATATATATATATGTGTATATGTGTGTGTGTGTGTATTATGTATACATATATTTATATATATATGTGTGTACATACATGTACACACACACACATAAAAATAAAGAACATATATAAACATGTTTTAATTATTGTTTAAAAATTTCCTATATTAAAAGTGATAGGGATGCCTGGATAGCTTGGTCGGTTAAGCAACTGCCTTCAGCTCAGGTCATGATTGCGGAGTCCCATTGTACAACTCCCTTACCAGGCTCCCCACTCAGCAGGGAGCCTGTTCTCCTTCTGATGCTCTCCCCTCTCACGCTCTCTCTCGCTCAAATAAATAAATTTTTTTTAAAGGTGATAATATTTTTATCCAGAAAGCTACTTTTACTTTTAATAAATACCACTTTAAATAGTTGCATAAAATTCCACGTAGCAGTGTATAAGATACAAAAGCACTCCTTGTTGGATATTTAGCTACCCCTAAGTTTTTTAGTGTTATACATAATGTTTTAATAAACATCTGTGAGAGTAAAGTTTTTTCTAAATTTCAATTATTTCCTTATGATAAAGTCCTCAAACTGGCATTTATCAGGGGGAAAAATAAACATTTTCAATTTTATTAACAGTTTTATACACAAATGCTAAATACATGCAACATACTTCAATGCTACTTTTTCATAACTCCTTCTAACCAACACGTTAGATATTTTAATAAAAATAGAATTAATTTAGATCGAGATGAAATATATACTGCTTAGCTAGTTACACAAATTTTACAAAAGACAAAACACCACAAACTCTCCTCCAAAGTGTTATGGACGTGAACTGTAGGCCAAAAGGTAATCCCACATAAAACCCTAAACCCTAAAAAAAAAATTCCTGGGATACCAAAAAATTCTTGGTACACAGTTCCTAAATGTAAACCCTAGGATAAATTATGTTCCTAATTTCTTACTCAAATGTGAATAATCTGAGGAATTAGGCATTAACCATACAACAAATCCTAACCCTTTCAATACCTCAGCTTAAAGTGAAGGAACCAGAATTATGAATACTTGGAGCAGGTCTAAGAGGAACATAAAATGTTTTCCATCTCTCCTTGGCTTGGCTTGAAGGAACGCATACCCACTAGACTAGGGAGCAGCACACCACAGGACTGCAACTTGTTTCTGTAAAGCCTCATTAGAACATTCATGTCAGCATGGTCTATGGCTGCTTTCACAGCAGAGCTGAACAGATCTGACAGGGATCATATGGCCCAAAAGGCTGAAAATATTTACTATCTGGCCTTCCGTAAAAGTCTGTCCATCCCTGCACTAGACTTGGGACAAAACTCATAGTCTTCATTCTGCTTGAAACACTCCACAGAGTTGTCCCCAGACCTCTCAACTAATTTCTCTAAGGATGTTATTTCCCAATTATTTTTTGAGTCCTATAGAGAGTGTCAAAGTCTATTTGCTTTTTCTTAAAGTTGTTCCATCATCAAGTAAGTTTGGGAAACATTGAGATAATAAAATTTAACACTTTTTTTTAAAGATATTTGAGAGAGAGCAAGCTTGAGGGAGGAAGGGTCAGAGGGAGCAGACCACCCCTGCCCCCAACCACGGACTTGATCCTTGGACTCCAGTATCATGACCTGAGCCAAAGTTCAACCAACTGAGGCACCCAGGCATCCCAAAATTTAACACTTTTCTTTCACGCAGGACTTTTTGGACCTTTACCACCATACATGAATCATGACTATTCAAGAGAGATATGGTTTGCACTAGAAAACACCATACAGAACTGGCAAAATGCCATTCTAGACCACTAACTCACTTAGATCTTTGTACTTTAAAGATCAAACCTCTTCTGGAAAGCTGAGCATTTTATCACCCACTAAGATATTACGTATGGAAGAGAGGGAGAGCACTTATTAACCACGTAAGAACAGAAACTACAAGCAACTTAAGTACAAAATGCAGATCCAAAATAAATGTTCAAAGACAAAGTTTGGGGGTACCTGGGTGGCTCAGTCAATTAAACATCTGCCTTTGGCTCAGGTCATGATCTCAGGGTCCTGGGATTGAGCCCCTTGCTGGGCTCCCTGCTCAGCAAGAAGTCTTCTTCCCTCTCCTTCTACCCTTCCCCTTACTCATGCTCATGCTCTTTCTCTCTCTAATAAATAAATAAAATATTTTTTAAAAAAGTTTGTAAATCCCAAGGATTAAAAGTTTATTTCTTGGGGCGCCTAGGTGGCTCAGTGGGTTAAGCCTCTGCCTTTGGCTCAGGTCATAATCTCAGGGTCCTGGGATCAAGCCCCACATTGGGTTCTCTGCTCCGCGGGAGCCTGCTTCCTCCTCTCTCTCTGCCTCTCTGCCTACTTGTGATCTCTGTCAAATAAATAAATAAAATATTTTAAAAAAAAAGTTTATTTCTTGATTCACAGACCTGTACTCCTGGGGATAAAAATACATTATATGTTTATTTAAATAAATAAATATTTTAAAAAGTCTATTTCTTTAAAGTATATCACTCCTGGAAGCTGGTACAAAAGGATCTTCTACCATAATTAGAACTCTGAAAAATAATTCGGCCCACATAGCATGCCCAAAAGAGGTAAGTCTTCCTATACCAAAAAGGTGAGCAACCACATAAGGAACAACCTACCCACGAACTAGACCACACACACACAGTAGTTGTTACGAGACCAGTGTTTCTGGTATCAGCTATTCATGGAAATAAACGGATCCAGCCAACTTAAACATGAAATGACTTGCACCTAGATAATCAAGCAGTGAGAAAGAAGATGAAACAAAGAAAAACTATAACCAAAAATTATCATTTCTAGAGAAAAGGAAAAGCAAAAAGGGCAGAAAAATAAAACGGGAATGATGAAAACCTAAAACCAAATTAATTCATGGGTCATTGGTGACAGGGAAAAGAAGCTAGACTGCCAATTCCATTTCTCTTGACAAGTCTTTCTTTTTTGAAAACTAATCATCTGACAACTGACAGGGAAAAAGTGACACCTAGCAAATTCGATGACAGCAGAAGAAATGTGACAGACTCATCCAATCATTCTACCCAGCTCAGGATCATTGGGAGCGATAAGAATGCCTTTTCTGTCCTCACTGAAGTAGTAGCTAATTAAATGTTAAAATGGACAGTTTCAGGACATTCTTTGGATGATCCTAGACACACATAGCTTTTCTTTTCTCTTGAACTATTTCCTAAGGACTCAAAGATGATAAGAGTAAACTCTTGTTACTTACTGCCACAATGGTTCCCAAACGAGCTGCACGTAGTACTTTATACTGACACCATCACTAAATAGCTCACAAACACTAGACAATTCCATCTTTAGGACTACAAATGTCAAGTAGTATCTTAATAATTATAATATGCATTTTCACAGTATTTGTGAAGTTAATCCCCCCTTGCTTTTAAATGTGATTTTTCCCTAAAGAGGCAGCATATACTACAGAGGAAATACAGGATTTATAGTCAAATGAATGAGTTCAAATTCCAGCTCCTTCTTACTTTAGGGTTTAACTTTGGAGATTTAGTAAACCAAACCAACCCTTGTTATTACACCTTTCTTCTAGAAATGTGGAAATGACCATCATATAACTTTGTAAGGATTAAATAAGATGACATTTGTAAGGGTCCTTGCAATAAGGAGGATGACTCAATGAAAGCCAGTTCTCTTCTTGCTCAGTCTACCTGAATTTATGTCCTCTGTCAATATGCCATTTATAGGTAGTTAAGAGCATGGGCTTTAGAGTCAGACAAAAGTGGAAATTTGGGGGGCATCTGGGTAGTTCAGCCGTTAAGTGGTTGCCTTCAGCTCAGGTCATGATCCCAGGGTCCTGGGGATTGAGCCCCACATCGGGCTCCCTGCTCAGCAGGGAGTCTGCTTCTCCCTCTCCCACTTCCCCTGCTGTGTTCCCTCTCTCCCTGCCTCTGTCATTTAAATAAATAAAATCTTAAAAAAAAAAAAAGAAAGCATCCTATATTGTTCACTAGCACTTCTTCATTCACTCACTCAGAATTTCAATTTGACTCACAGATCGAGTGCTGCCTTTCCTTTCAAGAGCTCAAGCTATCTTCAATGTCATAAAGTTTCTGAAGCCTTTTTCATAAAGTTTAGGATGAGGTGCCTTGCTGACTTAGTCTGCAGAGCATTCAACTCTTGATCTCAAGGTTGTAAATTACAGCCCCATGCTGGGTACAAAGACTATTTAAAAAATAAAATCTTAGGGAGGCCTAGGTCAGTTGGTTAAGCATCTGCCTTTGGCTCAGGGTCGAGTCCCACGTCGGGCTCATGCTCTGCAGGAAGCCTGCTTCTTCCTCTGCCTGCCACTCCCCCTGCTTGTGCTCCCTCTCTCTCTCGGACATATAAACACAAAAAATCTTTTAAAAAAAAACTTAAATAATTTTTTAAAAATATTTTATTTATTCACCTGAGGGAGAGAGAGAACATGAACAGGGAGGGGCAGAGGGGCAAAGGAGAGGGAGAAAGAATCTGAAGCAGACTCTACACTGAGCAGGGAGCCCACTTGGGGCTCAATCCCACAACCACGATATCATGACCTGAGCTGAAACTAAGAGTTGGACACTCAACCGACTATGCCACCCAGGTGCCCCGATTTATACATATATATTTTTTAAACAAAATCTTGGATGTTTGGGTGGCTCAACTGGTTAAAACATCTGCCTTCAGTTCAGATCATAGTCCCAGGGTTCTGGGATTGAGTGCCGAGTCGGGCTCCCTGCTCAGCGGGGAATCTGCTTCTCTCTTTGCTCTTCCCCGCCCTGCCGTGTGTGCGCACTCTCTCTCTAATAAATAAATAAATAGAATCTTGAGCAAAAACACACAAACAAAAAGTTTGGGATAAATATCTATACCTAGAATTCTCTTACTTATGTATTACAAACTCTTTGATGAAAAGGTTGTTTTCTTCAAAGGTTCTTTTCACATATACATTACTGACCAGTTCTCCTGGTTGGTTATAATTAAATTCAAGAAGCAATTTAATCTCTTTATTCTTAGATTTGATTTATTTGACAGACAGGAATCACAAGTAGGCATAGAGGCAGGCAGAGAGAGACGGGGGTGGGGAAACAAGCTCCCCGCTGAGCAGAGAGCCCGATGTGGGGCTCGATCCCAGGACCCTGAGATCATGACCTGAGCTGAAGGCAGAGGCTTTAACCCACTGAACCACCCAGGTGCCCCAAGAAGCAAAATTTATTTTAACTATAGAGTATAAACTGATGGTTACCAGAGGGGAGGTAAGTGGGCGATGGGTGAAACAGGAGATGGGGATTAAGGAGCACATTTGCTGTGATGAACACTGGGTGATGTATGAATTGTTGAATCACTATACTGTACGCCTCAAACTAATATAACACTATAGGTTAACTATACTGGAATTTAAAATAAAAGAAGCAATTTCTCTACTTTTTCAGATCTTTCTTAAACATAAAAATGTCAGCATAGGGGCGCCTGGGTGGCTCAGTGGGTTAAGCCGCTGCCTTCAGCTCAGGTCATGATCTCAGGGTCCTGGGATCGAGTCCCGCATCGGGCTCCCTGCTCAGCGGGGAGTCTGCTTCCCTCTCTCTCTCTGCCTGCTTCTCTGTCTACTTGTGATCTCTCTCTGTCAAATAAATAAATAAAATCTTTAAAAAAAAAATGTCAGCATATACATTCATTTGTTCATTCATTCAATGAATTATATATATAGCGAGTATATACTAGGAATTGGACATGATTCCAGGGATTTAGCAGTGAGAAAATAAAGCTGCTCTTGTGGAGCTCCCATATACTAGTAGAGAAGATAATTAACAAATTAAAACAGAACACAATGTCTGATAGTGTTAATATAAAGACAATAGCAATGACAGAGTATGACAGAAAATGATAGAAAATTGCATCATATTTTATATAAGATGCCCAGGAAAGATTTCTCAGAGGGAGGCATTTGAGGTGAGAAATGAATGACAAAAAAGAATAGGTCAAGAGAGGTTCTTAAAGGGGGGCATGTGGGAAAAGTGATATGGGCATGAGGAAGAACAAATAAAGTCCTAGGGCAAAAAAAAGTTTGATATGGCTAAATTTCACCATAATCTTTAAAGGTTATTAAATATTAATCGCATTTAAAAATATACTTCCAGCAGAAAACAAGATATAATCACTATGGTTTATCTTGCCCTGTGACAATTTTCTTACTGTTTTATGAAAGCCATCACATATGTATACCTTCCTTCGGGCTAAATAAACAGTCTCACAGCAATGACAATGACAATCATGTCTCCCTCCTTCAGGTCTCACTTAAATTTATTACCTATACTTCACAGCTTTTCTGAGTGTTTAGGTGTTACACTCTGTTCAATTCACCGCTCCTCTCGGAGATTTCTCATAAATCAGATTCTAGCTCGTTTTTCTGCTTTGTCCTCTAGTTTTCTTCTGGGTCTGAAAGGCTGTTTGAGAGCCTTCCAATACCTGGGGTTAGTCATGTGAGTGCACAGTAATGTACCTCTGCCTAATTGAACTCCCAAAACTGTTAACCTTCCTGCTAAAACAAGGCTTTCTACAGTGTTCCCCCTTCCCTTCCCTTTGGTTGAAGGTCTTTAAAAAGGATATAGCTTTCACAACCAGCCAGACCTCTAACTTAAATTGATTCTCCAAGGTTTCTAGTATAAAAGACAAAGCTATATGAATTATTCTTCCAGTATTCTGCAGAGTCTCTGTCCCCCCTACCCCCAACTTTCCACAAGAACTGTTGTCTAATGACCTTATCAATCCATAGCTTCCCAATACCCAGATGTTGACTCTAGCCTAAGAATTCTCACAGGTCCTTTTCTTTTATTAGGAAGTATCTCATAATTTATTTAGGGAATCTAATGGTATTCTAAATGGTTAAATAGGAGACTGGGCCAATATATTCAAAAGAATTTTTTCCCTTATTTTTTTATACTTTTTATCATAGAAATCTTCAAACATACAAAAAGTAGAGAACAGCAGAACATACTTCCACTTCCCAACACTACCTTGAACAATTATTATATGGCCAATCTAGTTCCATCTAAAACTGCCCCCACTTTCTACTCCTCACCAGTAGATGATCTCATTAAAACAAATCCCATATAATGCATTTTAAGAGGTTTCCAATCAGTGTAAGTTGTGATCCTAGACCTGGTATCCCAGTATCTTTCAAAGTCTTTTTTTTTTTTAATTTTATTTATTGGGGCGCCTGGGTGGCTCGGTGGTTTAAGCCTCTGCCTTTGGCTCAGGTCGTGATCTCAGGGTCCTGGGATCAAGCCCCGCCTCGGGCTCTCTGCTCAATAGGTAGCCTGCTTCCCCCTCTCTCTTTGCCTGCCTCTCTGCCTACTTGCCTATCTCTCTCTTTCTCTCTGTCAAATAAATAAATAAATAAATAAATAAATAAATAAATAAAAGATTTTATTTATTTATTAGAGAGAAAGAACATGAGCTGGGGGAGGAGCAGAGGGAAAGAGAGAAGCAGACTCCCCACTGAGCAGGAAGCCAATGCAGGGCTCAATTTGGGGCTTGATCCGGGACTCCAGGATCATGACCCGAGCCAAAGGCAGATGCTTAACCAACTAAGCCACCCAGGTGCCCCTTTCTAAGTCTTTAGCACAGGCAAGTTCTAAGGATTCCCTGTCTACCACAGCCAACCACATGGTTAAATTCAGTGATTGTCCCTCCATTTCTAATTTATTTTGTCATGGCAGACCATTACCCCAAATAAGTTTATATAGGAGAATTTAAGAGCACAGGCACAGGATGGCCTAACATATATAAGCTATTTCACTATTAAAGAAAAAAATAACCTTGAAAGTATAAGGATATCATTACATGTAGATCTAAACTCCCACACTTACTTAATTATATTCCAACACTGAAACGGTAGGCCTTTGACAAGATAGTCAAACAACCATACACAAACTACAGAGAAAACAACAGGCTAAAAACCTTCAAGTTGTTTATGCCATAAAACATTTCACATTTTCTTAAAAATGCAATTTAGATGATAAACAGGCCAAATCTGAAAGCAAAAATCAGCTATTCATCATAAATACCATCCATGATCTAAAAACATAATTAGGTGAGAAGCACTTCCTTATAAATGTATGTCGAAAAACTCTTGGGGACCACTTACAGCTCTAACTCGAAGAAGATGTGAGATGACAGACTGTAGTTCATCACTGTAGTGTTTTAGTTCAGTAAATCTCCTGAAACAGGAAATAAATAAAACATCATTTTTTTCTCATGAAAACAAGTCAAAAACTGAAAGACAAAACAGGAGTTCCTGAGAACAATGAAACTGATTCTATTTGACCATATGCTGGCTTTATGTACACACCAATACAAATTCAAAAAACTCTAAAACAACCATATTTTCTTTTGATATTTTTTTCTCCTTTTGATATTTTTAAAGATGTCATACTTTATAATTTTTACTGTGAAACTGAGATAGAGAAAAAAATTATCTGAAAAATTACTTGAAAAAATACAAGGTGCTAAACTCATGGTCTCTAACCTCAGTCTTTATTCTATTCAGTAATCTTTGTTTCCCTAATCTAGTGACTACCATCCTGCATAAAGATATGAAACTTCTGATACCACCACCTGTTGCTCTCCAACCAAGCTTCACACATTAAACACAGCCATCAGTAGGATCTCCTGCCAGCAAACACATCTACCTCTATTATTTCTTCCTTCCCCCGAGGATCCTTCCTCCCATCAATACTCTATATTCTACCCAAGCTATACCCCAGATTCCTATTTTCTAACTTCCACTCTCTATAAGCTCCTTCTCATTAGCATATCAACTAACTCTCCCATATTTAAAAACCTGTACACACTCCCTTGACAACACACCCAACTCTCAACACCCTCTCATACCCAGGCCTCTCAAAGGCATACTTTGACAAGGCATTCTCTCAAGTGACAACCACCTCCCATTCACTGTGCAGCCCACTGCAATCTAGTTTTGCCTACAGCACCCAAGGACAGAAATACTCCTGACAAACTCACTAATTATTCTCGTGTTGCTAAAACCCAAGGATATCCTTTAGGCCTCATCTTTCAACAATGAAACAGCTACCCTCACCCTCCTCAAAAATTTGTTCCCTTGCTATTGGTTTTATTTTCTCATGATTTTCCTTGTACTCTCTGGTTATGCCTAAAGTCTCTTTGGCAGTTCACATTTCTTTCACCCACCTGTTACACCTCCAACTTTAGTGTGCAAAGAACCCCTGAAGTATTTGTTAGAAATGCTACCGAGGGCTTCTCAGTAGGAAAGGGGTGTGAATAAGCAAACTGTGCACGGAGGCCCTAGTGGGACTCAGGAAGCTTGAATGTTTAACAAGCCTAACCTACAGGATTCAGAGGCTACTAATCCTCAGATTATGCTCTGGAAAACACCCCCAAAGTGTTGGTACTCCTTAGGGTCCCACCCTGGGTCCTCAGCCATCTTAATAATCAATCTTTCAATCTACACACTCTATGTGACTTATCATTCACAAAGCTTCACAATTATAATGTACATGCTACTGAATTCCAAACATCTACCTCCTACCCAAATATCTCTCCTAACCACCAGATCTATAATGCCTACTGACTAGCTGACATTTCTACTTGCTTACATACCCAAAACTCAATTTATCTTCCCCTATCCCTCCCAAATCTCTCTTCCCTGTATTCCCTCACACTCTGAAGACTGAAACCTGGGTGCCGTCTGTATTTTCTGCCTCATTCATTCATTCTACTAACTAACCTCTTGGTCTACCTCTTAAATATTGCCCAAATACTCTAAATCTTGCCACAAAAAGTAGAAGACTCAAGGCCCATTTTTAAACTGCTCTTTAACAGTCTAGTTTGAAGAAACATATTTTATTTAAGTTTATTATTTTTTTTTTTTAGTAATCTCTACACTGAATGTGGAGCTCCAACTCATGACCCCAAGATCAAGTCACATGCTCTTCTGACTAAGCCAGCCAGGTACCCCAGTTTGAAGAAACATAAACATGCGTGAAGCTAGTATCATTTTGGTAATCCCTCTAAAACAATGTTTTCTACATTTTAAGAAAGGAGAGAATGAAAGTATTTTAGTGATATAAACTATTTTAGTAATAGTATGAATAATTATATATTGGACCACCTAGACCCAGTATATAAAATATATACAATATATAATATATGATATAGCTAGAACAGAGATTCTCTGCATGAAGACTCTGTTTTAACAATGAATGATATAGGGGTGCCTGGATGGCTCAGTTGGAGGAACATCTGACTCTTGACCCTCGGGTCATGAGATCCCATGTTTGGTGTAGAGATTACTTAAAAATAAATAAATAGAACTTAAAAAAAAAAAAGGACAATGAATGATATAGACAATCCTCTTATCCAGAACTTAAGGCAAACAAATTCTATTACTAATTATATATTAGTTACACATTATAAGAACAGAAGCAAAAAAACTGCCTTGGTTATGTTGTTGGTCATATCAAACTGAAAATTCTATACATAATATGGATATTAAATAAAATTTTACAATCCAGAAACCTGGTTAGGTCAAAAAAGGAAAGGCCTCATTCAATTAATAAACTCTTAAGCTGAAAAACATTCAACTGACAAAATACTAAAATAATTAAAATACAGTCTCATCTACTTGCTCCTCAAATGAATGTACATCCACCAAAGTCATAAAACTAGCTTACTAGCTACTAAAATTTTAAGTCACCCTCCAAAAAACCTCAAAGCTTTTTTTGGAGGGTGACTTAAAATTTTAGTTCTTTATCTAGAGAACATCTCTTATATACCATGCATGTCATTATAACCCTCATAATGAAACCTTAGTGGAATCTTAAATGCATATTTCTAAGTAAAAAAAGCCAATCTGAGAAGACTATATACTGTATATGACATTCTAGATAAGGCAAAACTATGGAAATCACTGGTTTCCAGGGGTTGGGATGGAGGGATAAATAGGCAGACCACAGAGGATTTTTATTTAGAACAGTGAAAATACTTGGGTTTTTTTGTTTATTTTTGTTTTTATCTATTTATTTTAATTTTAAGTATGCTCCATGCCCAACGTGGGGCTTGAACTCATGACTTTGAGACTAACAGTCATGTGCTCCACAGACTGAGCCAGCCAGATGACCCACGACAGTGCAAATACTTTGTATGATATGATAGTGATGAATAAATGTCATTATAAATTTGTCAAGAGTGAATCCTAACGTAATGTCTTTGGGTGATAACAGTGTGGTCAAAAGAGATTCATCAACTGTAACAAATGTGCCATTCTGGTGGGGGACGTTAGCAGTAGGGTTGACTGTGCATGTGTGTGGGCAGAGGGTAAATATGGGACCTCTGTGCTATCCATTCAATTTTTCTGTAAAACTAAAACTCCTCTAAAAAGTCAATAAAGTGACACCTGAGTGGCTCAGTTGGTTAAGCATCTGACTTCAGCACAGGTCATGATCTCAGGGTCCTGGGATGCAGTCCCACATCAGGCTCCCTGCTCAGCGGGGAGCCTGCTTCTCCCTTTGTCCTCTCCCTCTGCCCCTATCATGCCCATGCTCATGCTCTCACTCTCCCTTTCCCAAATAAATAAATGTTTTTTAAATAAATAAATAAGTCTATTTAAAAAAAAACAACTCTAAGGGCACCTGGGCAGCTCAGTCGTTAAGTGGCTGCCTCTGGCTCAGGTCATGATCCCAAGGTCCTGGGATTGAGCCCTGTATGGGCTCTCTGCTCGTTTGCAAAGCCTGTTTCTCGCTTACCCACTCCCCCTGCTTGTGTTCCCTCTCTCATTGTGTCTCTCTGTCAAATAAATAAAATCTTATAAAAAGTAAGGTAAAATAAAATAAAAAATTTTAAAAACCCTCAATGGTTACCTGGTCACAATTTCCTGATTACCAAAACTTTAAATATTTATTTATATTTTATATTCAAAATTTATATTAAAAGCTAAAGGCATTATGCTAATGTGTTATGATTTATAAGGTCAGGCATAATACGTTATCAGACTATGCAAACCTGGCATTTGGTAAGAATTTACATCACAAAGAAATTAATGCTGAAGGCCTAACCAGAGAAATTCTAACACACCTCATGAACGTTGTAGCCAAAAATGGAAAAGTCTCATCTGCCTGAGAACCTTTCTAACTAAAAAATTTAGCTGAATCAAAGACCAGGTAAAGGTCCATATGATGAGGAGCCTAAATTATCCACCCAATTCAGAGAATGAGTAAAACCAAAATATTGAGAAAGGCCTAGGGCCCATCCTAAGGAAATTTTTTTCTGAATGCACAGGCTTCCTTTATTATAGAAATGGTCTCAAAACACCAAACTGATGTTAATGAAGTCAAGCAGCTGTCATATAAATACATCTCCATGAAATTATTATACTAGTATACATTTATCTATCAAGTTTTCTTGGTAGACAAAGTAGTTTATTATTAAATATATACTGTAACATATAATAATCTTATCTTGAACTTTGTACATATTTGACAAGCAAAGTCATTAAGAAAAACTACTTCATATGAAATTAAAATTATATCTCTTAATTTTCTAATATCTTCAACATTTTCATAAATCCTTCTAGAAAAAAGCAGTGGTTTAATTTTCTAAAACCTTAGTTACTTGCAACCTTAAACCTAATTAAGTTACCAAATCTCAAAATCAGTTTTAGACTGTAAGAGGATTTCACTAAATGTAAATTACTTTTTAAAATAGTTAGCAAATAAACTGCATACATTCAGAAATGAAAAATTAAATCATTCAAAACAACACTGTAATTGTTATTAAAACAAAACCTTACTTGTCTGGGTTTTTCACTCTGAATGTTGCATTAAGCGCTTTTAACCTGGAGTCTGCCTGGAAAAAATAATTTGTTCACTTAATACAATTACATTTCAGGTTATAAATCCAAACAGTTTTACTTTTCCTTTAGAAGATCCTCGAGTACAATTTTCTTCATATCATTTGTGTCAAACACATTAAACATATCTAAAAGAAAAAAGGCTTAGTAGTTATTTTTGAAAACACTACAAAAACAATGTTTTAATAAATTAAGTTGAATACATGGCATTCAATGGTATCAAAGTAAAACAATTACAAACATCAACACACTAACAGATATATATATATAGCTCTGCATTACCACATGTCAGAAAAGGTCATGAGAGAAAAGTAGTTTAACTTTTTCTAAATCAAGAAAAGCAATGATAAACTAAATAAAACTACCGCTCTAAAGCACATGCATTACTGCAGGTAGTTCCCAGATCAAACCCAAACCAAATACACACTGGTTTTTTCACTGTCATGATTGGTATCTTAAAAAAGAAATATGTAAATACCTGAACTAAATACTGTACACTAAAGTAAAACAAGAGGACATCAAATTAGTTTCTATCTAGCTGATAGAAAATGTCACAACACAACACAACTTTTCAACTATCTTTTTTTGCTAACTCTTTAACTATTTTTATTTATTTTAAATAACTGCTCTCAAAGGAGGAACAGAGGGATCAGCACTAAGCAATAACTGAATTCTATAAAATGTACACTTAATATATCCAAATCCTATCTAAGTTCTCACAAAAGAAAAGAAGAGAAGAGAAAAAGAAAAGGAAAAGGAAAGAAGAGGAAAAGGAAAATGAAAGGAGAGAAAAGAAAAAAACATTGAATTACGTTTCTGACCAGGCATAGAAACTATAGAATTCAAATGAGGTGGCTCAATCAAAAATTAATTTTACAATGTAGCTGGAAACTTGAAATCAGCTTGAAAATTTTACATTACTCCAATTTCCAACCAACAATTACATACACTCCCAAGTTAATAAAATAAGACAAAAACAATTCTAGGGCTCCACAAATTACTTGGCTTAGAAAATAAAAAGCAAATGCAACAAATACATTACTCCACAAGCTAAGCCTCTCTTAGAACTTCAGACTACAAGTTATTCAAAAAGTTATCATGAATATCTATAGATACTTAATTTATCACTGATTTCTGGGGATCCTCTTATTTCTAAAATCAGTATTTCACCAATTCTGGACCTTTCTCACTTCTTAGGGGCAAACAAGCTAGTGCATGTGAAAGTCCTTACATATATATGTACCTGTTAATTTAAGGCATTTATCATGCCCTTCTGTTCTTCTAATTAATTAAAATAACTAAACACCAAAGTACTGAAGACTCTATATTTACATACAAACATGATTCTTTAAATGAGGATGAAATTACATTAAAACTATGAGGAAAGAAGGATATTTTCATTTGTACTTTTCCTGGAATCTCAAATTCTTAAGAACACAAATTTATTTTTTACTTTTAATGTCAACAATTTACCAATTTAGAAGTCATACAGAATGTTAAATATCACCACTCTAAACTTTGCTTACCCAACAACCGGTCAGGTCAGTTCCATGAGAACACCCAACTCAATATGCTCACCATTTCGCAAGATTCCACAAGATTTCAGAAGTTGCCTAAAATGTCCCCAAAGCCAGATCTCATAAAAAGCATCTGGACTACTTCAAACCACACAGCTTACCAACCCTCTTTCAGAATCCCCGTTAAATATCTAAAGAAGCCCCTGACCCATCACTGTTTTATACCATCTTCTTTTATCTCCTTTAAAACAACACAACTTGTTCACTTGTCTCAACTGTCCACTAGAATATAAGAGTTATTTTAAAAAGCACATTGCGCACAGTGCCCCTGGGAACTGCACGACAGCCTCAATAATACTTTCATCTCCTGTGCTCTCTGCTGTACCCCCAGGGCCTCACAAAGCCTGCACAAGACAAACACGCTGAATGAAAAATAACCCAACCATTCTCCAGCCCCAAGTTCCTACCTTACTTCCCATGTTCTCCTTTAGTCCCCACTTCCTCCCCTTTCCCAGTTCCTATTCCATATTTTACCTTACATGTCCTGGATCTTATCTTCCCCTGGGTTACTTCATTTTCTGATTCTTCTCTTCCCCCAAATGTTGCCTAGCTACCCACCACCCCCAGCTTGGGCCTCTCTCACGTTCCTCTTCCATGGCTTCCAGCTTGACTCCACTGCAGGTTTCTTATTCCTGTCTCAGCTCTAATGTTCTCTCTTCAACCATGTGACCCAATTTATCCAGGACAGTCCTGGTTTATGCTTACTGTCCTAGACTCATTATTAATAGTGCCCCTTTTCACTCTTGAAAGTGTCCCCACTTGCTCAATAAATTTTACGGTCATCTATCTCAAAATAATCTCTGGAAAAAAATCTCTGCTGTCATACTCCTTAACAAAGATTATCTATAACTATTTTAAAGTATCTTATTTATATGTTAATGTCTCCAACTACTAAAATATAACCTCCATAAGAACATGGGAGTTTATGAAGGTTTCCAGCTCATCCGCTACTGTTTCCACAGCATCTAGCAGAGCACCTGACGCTCTCCAGGCACCCAACATTTATCACCACAATGGCTCTCTCGGCATTTCTCTGTAATACACAGATTAGCAGGGATTTTAAAAATCCAGACTGGGACACCAGCAGTCTGTACTCCAAGCAACAAACAGGGTTCTGGGTTCCTCTGAGTCAATGTAAATTCATGTAAGGTTTGGGTATATGGATGACACTTTCTTTTAAGTAACTTACTGAGTTAATAGGAGTTAGAAGAGTACTACTTTATACTAAAGTAATTAGTTTATATTTCATTACTCTAGAAAAGCTCTTTGCTCTCCTTTCACTAAATTGGTTAACACGAATATTTATATATATATTCAAGACAAAAAATGCCAATATAAAGCAGGGATGAAAAGAGTTGCTGCTCATGTTTATATTAAGTAGAGCAGTGATAAAAAAGAAACTAGATTTTTGGGGTGCCTGGGTAGCTCAGTCAGTTAAGTGATGGACTCTTGATTTTGACTCAGGTCACAATCTCAGGGTCATGAGACTCCGCCCCGCATCGGGATCCACACTCAGCAGAGTCTGCTAGAGATTCTTTCCCTCTCCCTTTATCCCACTACTATTCTATCTTTCTCAAATAAATAAATAAAATCTTAATAAAAAAAAAAGAAACAAGACATATAATTATCTTGCTGGGTATAGTAATTACTCTAAAATGATTTAAGATTATTAATCTAGTAAGCCAAAACTAAAATTAAACAAACGTGTGAAAAAAGGAAAATCAGGGGCATCTGGGTGGCTCAGTTAAGCATCTGCCTTTGGCTCAGGTCATGGTCTCAGGGTCTAAAGCCCCATGTTGGGCTTCCTGTCCGCGGGGAGTCTGCTTCTCCTTTTCCCTCTGCCCCTTCCCTGCTCTCTCTCTCTCTCTCTAAAATAAATAAAATCTTTAGTCAAAAAAAAAAAAAGGAAATTAAAAATAATGAAAATTAAAGCAAGCTGACGTTTCAGATTGACAATCCAAAAGCCAAGGGCCAAAGTCAAATACTCTCTCTTTTTTTTGAAGCAGGCTCCACACCCAGCATGGAGCCCAGTGCAGGGCCTAAACCTACAACCCGGAGATGAAGACCTGAGCTGAGATCCAGAATCAGACACTTAACTAACTAAGCCACCTAGATGCCCCATAACTTCAAATATTCTTATAAAATATAAACATTTGGCCTGATTCAGAACAATCTCATTTTCACAGACTGGTTTCCAATACTCCCTTTACCAACCATTTTTACATATAATTTATAACCAAAAGGAGAGGTAATATGGGATGGTAACGTGTATGTACATGAACCACATGTGAGATGGTCTAAAAAAGATTCCATTTCACTGATGAAAGGACTTAAAACAAGAACCAGCCACAACAAAATAAGAATACAGCAGGATACAAGGATTTCCAAACTCTCTTCATATATCTTATTTCTGTTCCATTTCATTAAAGTCTGACTTTTCCAATTATTAACATCATGCATAAAGTATTACCTTTCAAAATGAAAAGTGAAACTGAGGTTTTACCATAAAGCAACCCAAATAGAAATATTTTAACTCTTAAATAGCACCTATCAGAAGATTCAACGCACACAATACACAGCACAGTCTATATAGATGAAGAAATTCAAGGGCTTTCTCAAGGTCACCAAAGTCATGGCCAAATACTGGGTTCAAAGACAAAGAACTGCTAACTAGTTACTAAACTAATGACTAAATCTGTGACTGTTACATAAAGAGAAGTCACCAAAACAATTGTTTTACTTTTCTCTTTTTCTTAGTATTAGCTCCTAACATCGGGGACTAGTTCTCAGAAAACCTATCAAAAGAAAAACATTTTTTTTAAAGTTTTGAGTTATCTCAAATTCAACTCTAAATTAAAATTCCAATATTCTGAATGCCATAAAGTAACAAATTATAGCCAAGAAAATTCTAATTTTTTCCATGATTCATTAGAATCAGGTTATGACAGAATTAGATACTTTATTATATTTTCCATGCACAAATTTTATCTTCCTAGTTTTTTGCGCTAAATTTCAAATACCTAAGTGCCAATACAAAAATCTCTAAGAGGTGTCTTCATAACTACTATAAAGTCATTTTGTTCTTGTTGTCTAGAACTACTGGCATTTTGTTACTAAATTATCATTTGATTTGTTCATTATTCTATATATCCTATCAATCTACATTACATTTTTCTACTTACCTGTTCAGTTTACACAAGAGATAAAAACTTTCGAAAATTTGCCAACAACCTGTGTTTACCCTACTTTTGGAGCCAAGGGAGAGCAGACAGGAGTCAGGGTGGCCTCACACCATACCATGTTTTTCAATTTTTAGACAATAATTTCATCCCCAAGGACAAATTATAATGGCTAAATCTGAAAAGCTGTATCACTAACAGACACTAATTGAAAATGACTCATATGCCCACTCAAAACTGACCACCATGTCCCAGCAGACAGAAGCATGACATTTGGCTCATCTTTTAGTCTGCTATGATTAGGAATGCCAAGCTCAATTCTTCAGCAGTGTCTTTCCTATCTGATAAAAAAGAGCAAGTAAGTGGGCAAGAATGTGAGCGGCAGTGGTAAAGGCAGAGAGGGTTAAGGAAAAAAAAATAAGATACAAAGCCTATGCGCATAATGTGGGAAAAATCTACAACTTGTGTCTAAATTACAAAATGTTCTTTCCCAACAGAAATGAAATTCATAAATATGCCCACTCTAAACTCATCAGTAACTAAAATTATACAAATCCAAAGGGAATTCACAGTGTTTCTTTGAAAACCCTCCTAATGATATTAGAAGCAAAGTCTTTTTCCAACATTCACACATTCAATAAGTATCAAGTATCCACTAAGTGCATGGCATTATGCTAGGAATTGTAAAGGAACTTGTCAAACTATTTCATACAAATATTCTTACCTTCAGTTGAAATCCAGTTTCATTCACAGTCTCCTTCCAGTTACCTTCCTAAAAATTAAAGTTAATTTTAGAAATCATTGCAAAATAAAACAACCTATAAAGAATACTCCAAATTAAATAAAGTATCTATTATTCTGTTCTTCTTTCAGGGAAGATGGGAGAAAGGTTCAAAAGAATCCATTTCAAAATTAAGCATATAATCCAGAGTCCAAAAGACTACCAAAAGACAGACCCAAGATTTTATAAACCTGGGCTTCAAAAAACTAAAGACTAACTTTGATATCTATCATTTAAGTGATGCCAGAAAGTACTGTCTTTAGTATCTTTTAAGTATAAAAATGTCAACTGAATTGGGGAGGGTATGTGCTATGGTGAGTGCTGTAAAGTGTGTAAACCTGGCGATTCACAGACCTCTACCCCTGGGGCTAATAATACATTATATATTTACAAAAAAATTAAAAAATTATTTTTAAAAAATGTCAGCTGAGTGATGTAACCTAATAATTTTGAAAATCAAAATGAACTGAAAAACATGATTAAATGTATATTAAAGCTGCTGCAAAGAGATACCTAAGCCTAAGCATTCTATAGTTTAAAAGGAAAAAAAGGGGCGCCTGGGTGGCTCAGTGGGTTAAGCCTCTGCCTTCGGCTCAGGTCATGATCCCAGGGCCCCGGGATCAAGCCCCACATCGGGCTCTCTGCTCTGCAGGGAGCCTGCTTCCTCCTCTCGCTCTGCCTGCCTCTCTGCCTACTTGTGATCTCTGTCTGTCAAATAAATAAAATATTTAAATAAATAAACAAATAAATAAAAATAACAGGGAAAAAAATGAATTTTTTTTAAAGACTAATAAATAAAAGAAAAATACCTGTGTTAAAAACAAATAGAAGATTTTGTCTCTACAAAGGATGGGATGCGAGGCAACTCTCAAGAGAAAGTTTTCCAAGCCAATCCGTCGTCTTTCCACAAAATCTGGGTCCATGTTGTCAGCGGAGAGTTTATGCCAAACGAATTCTGCCTAGGTAAACAAAACAGTCATGAAGAACAGTCTCAGCACTCTATACTTCTGAGCCACACTGCTGTTTCATTTCTTACCCTTTTTTCTGGTAGAGGTGGCACAACAATATGGGGATAGTAAACTAAAAGGTAGTTTCTCAACAATTCAAATTCACTATACCGCCTCCACAGTGAGTCTGTTAGGACACTTTGACCATCAGTATGTTCAACTGACCTGAAAAGGAACAGAATAAGACCTCTATTACTTTTTTTTTTAAATACAAATTCAAGCACACAACCTCCACCAAGATTTGTGACTCCATTTACTAAATGCTTACGAACCAGGCACTCAGTGAAGAACTTTTCATGTAGCATCTTTTTTAATCCTCCTAACCAGCCTGTGAAGCACAGATTATTAACCCCATGCTATAGATGAGAAAGTAGCTACTGCTCCTACAATCACAAAGATCTCTAGATAAAGCACTCAAATCTATCTGATTCCAAAGCCCTTACTCCTAACCACTTTCCCTTCTGCTACAGAAAACCTATCTGAACTCCAGAGAAATAATTATTTTAAGCACATATTTTAAGCACATATTTAAGCACATATTTAAGCCCATATTTTAAGCCTCAATGTACAATAATTCAGTTAATATATAGTAATTGGTTTTACAATAGGGTAAAATCTGGCTTAACTGCTGTTTCATTAAATAAAAAGTATTTTTAACTACATCATTTCTGCCACAATGAGACAACATTCATGCTAAAGACCAAGACACCGCAAAGACCTCGATTCAAAGTTATAAAGAAATCAGATGCATCCATGTACCATAAAATATCTTCAAAGGCAAAATGTTAACTCTGAAAGAGTAGGGGGGAAAAAAAGATGTAAAAATTCATTTCTAGTCTTATCTTTAACATAGAGAGCTGTAAGCAATGCCATATAAAAGTTTAACTTATAGTTGGGGAGAAGTTTGGGTAAAATCACACCAAGGATATTTGAAGTTAGTTTGGTGGCGCCTGGGTGGCTCAGAAGCCTCTGCCTTCAGCTCAGGTCATGATCCCAGGGTCCTGGGATTGAGCCCCGCATAGGGCTCTCTGCTCAGCGGGGAGCTTGCTTCCCCCTCTCTCTCTCTGCCTGCCTCTCTGCCTACTTGTGGTCTCTGTCAAATAAGTAAATAAAATCTTAAAAAAAAAAAGATTTCTACTAGCATAATCATTCTTAGAGAGCATTAGTCTTCTAAACATTATCGGGACCTTCCTACTTTCTAACTGGTTGCTTAACAGTAACTTTCAGGCCCTCCAAGAAATGCACATATCACCACAATGTACATGTGTATACTAGGACATAAAGGCACAGAAGCTAAATCCGTCTTGGAATAAAGTAGTTTTAAGAAAGCATATACATCATGTCATGCTCAGCACAATAGATGTTCAGTGTTTTTATCATTTATATATTAGGTCTGCCACTAAATTTAATCATTGCATATAAGTAAAAAAGAAACAAAACAGGAAATTCAAATGTACAAACGGCACCCATGGCAAAAACATAAATTATCAAATCATAATTCATCTTAAAGAGTTAACCTTTAGCTCTTTAAGAGTTAAAGGGGACGCCTGGGTGGCTCAGTTGGTTAAGCAGCTGCCTCTGCCTAGGGTCATGATCCTGGGATTCTGGGATGGAGTTCCACATCGGGCTCCTGGCTCAGTGGGGAGCCTGCTTCTCTCTCTGCCTCTGCTTGCCACTCTGCCTGCTGTGTGCTCTCTGACAAATAAATGAAATCTTAAAATAACATAAAAAAATTTAAAAATTAAGGAGCGCCTGGGTGGTTCAGTGGGTTAAGCCTCTGCCTTCGGCTCAGGTCATGATCTCAGGGTCCTGGGATCGAGCCCCGCATTGGGCTCTCTGCTCAGCAGGGAGACTGCTTTCCCCCTCTCTCTGCCTACTACTCTGCCTACTTGTGATTTCTCTCTCTGTCAAATAAATAAATAAAATCTTTAAAAAAAATACTATTAAAATTTTTAAAAATTAAAAAAAGAGTTAACCCAAACATTAGCTATGACTAATACTATTCCAATTCAGATTCTCAGACTTTAGCTCAAAAAATATCTGGGTTAATATCAAGTTTCAAATTATTCAAAATCATTACCAACAGAACTACTTCCTGCTATCAACAGATTAATGTAGATTATTAATATAGCCTATAAGAAGTACGCCTACAAGGCTGTTAGTAGACCTGCTTATGGGGCACCCCGGTGGCTCAGTCAGTTAGGCATCTGCCTTCGGCTCAGGTCATGATCCCAGAGTCCTGGGATCAAGCCCCACATCAGGCTCCCTGCTCAGCAAGAGGCCTGTTTCTCCCTTTCCTTCTGCCCTCTGCTCCCCCTGCTCGTACACTCTCTCTCCCTCTCTCTCTCTGTCAAGTAAACAAATAAAAATCTTTAAAAAAAGAAAGAAAGAAGACCTGATTAAGTTTTTTTGTTTTTGTTTTTGTTTTTTTTAAGTCCATTTAAGGCCATTTAAGGCCATCTAGCCTTTGGAGACTGACTAAACACATAAGAGAGACTTAGGGGAGACCTAAAACTGACACATTTATTCACTCATTTAACAACTATTTAACAGCATATAAACAGTTTTACATGCAACATTTAATGCTCAGAAAGGACTGTATCATTAGCCTCATTTTATGAATCAGAAGACTTCATACTGCTCCTAAACCATCAATTCTGAAAGAGGCATATTCTTATCTACTTTAAAAGAGTTCTTATTCTATGAACGAAAAACCAAAAATCTCTAGAGAAATTAAAAACCAGTGACCCGGGGCGCCTGGGAGGCTCGGTCGTTAAGTATCTGCCTTTAGCTCAGGTAGTGGTTCTAGGGTCCTGTGATCCAGCCCTGTGTGGGAATTCCCTGCTCACAGGGGAGTCTGCTTCTCTCTCACCCTTAGCCCCTCCCCCTGCTCATGTTCTCTCTCTCAAATAAATAAATAAAACATTTTTTTAAAAAAATGAAATACAATTGTGAAAGTCAACCCGATAATCATTTTGTGTACCACACACTTACTGATGATCCACTTAAATATTCATTCAGAGTAAGGCTACATTACTCGAGTATGGTCACTCCTAACTCCCAGTTATAAATTATGATGCTCTATTCAGTTCAAAGCCAAAAGTAAACAACAATTAATTATTCTATTCAAATCAAGATTTCTCTTCCAGCAGTAAAAGTAATCAACAGCAAATTTCATTGTTTATTTGGGTGATAAAATACTCACATACTAAAAATAAAAATATCCTTTAAAATTTTATATTTAAGAACTTGAAGCATGTATAATTAATAATACTCTACTGCATATGTGGAAGTTGCTAAGAGTAAATCTTAGAAGTTCCCATTATGAGAAAAAAAAATTTGTTAACTGTATGGTGACAGATGTTAGTTTATTAGACTTGTGATCATTTTACAATCTGTACAAATACTACAAGGTAGTGTTGTGTATCTGAAACTATTATGATGTTATATGTCAATTATACCTCATAGTAAAAAAAAAAAAAAAGGATCAGGAAAAAATAATTTACTTAGAAAGCTAAAGTTAACACTAATTTCTAAAGTATGATTTTTTTTTTAAAGTAGCCAATTTAACTTAAAAATAAAGACACAGCAACAAAACCCTCTAATGGGACCGTGTTTTTTTAAATTACTTTAAAAATCTCTGTGAGGGGTGTCTGGCTGGCTCAGTCAGCAGAGCATGTGACTCTTGATCTCAGGGTTGTGAGCAAAGCCCCAGGGTTGTGAGCAAAGCTAGGTGAAGAGCCTACTTAATAAATTAATTAATTAATTTTGAAAAAATCTCTGTGGTACACATATGTAGATACATATGTCACAAAATGACCTAATTTTTGTGGGGGGAAGGATTAAACAGATGTTGTGGAGGGCACTTACTGTGATGAGCACTAGGCATTCTATGGAACTGCTGAATCCTACATGGTACACCTGAAACTAATGTAACACTATATGTTAACTGAATTAAAATAAAAAATTAAAAAAACAAAATACAAAAAACCCCAAAATGACCTAATTTTAAAAAGACCAACTTTAACTCTTTCTGTTCCTAAAGTTCCTATCGTACATAAATTTTCTCTCATTCTGGGAAGATTCTTTTTTTTCTTTTTGGTATACTTAAAAAGAAAGCTTTCAGAATTGTAAACAATGTTTTCCAAGATTCTAACTTTTATTTAGGGTAGAAACACAGACCTGGAGAATGCCTTGAAAAGTTACAGGGTGTAGCCTTAAGACAAGCTCAGTGACCTTTGGTAAACCTATGAAAATGCAGGGTTTAAAAATTTTTTACCCTAGGGGCGCCTGGGTGGCTCAGTGGGTTAAGCCACTGCCTTCGGCTCAGGTCATGATCTCAGGGTCCTGGGATCGAGTCCCACATGGGGCTCTTTGCTCAGCAGGGAGCCTGCTTCCCTCTCTCTCTCTCTCTGCCTGCCTCTCTACTTGTGATCTCTCGCTCTGTCAAATAAATAAATAAAATCTTTAAAAAAAAAAAATTGCAAAAATTTTTTCCCTTAAAAATATATTCACATTAAAACATGGTTATAACTATCAACTCGCTCTGATAGTTCTATTACTTTATTTTACTGGCCATAAAAAATCTCATATCTTTAACACAAAGCATTTCTGCTCAGTCTCACAGAGAGAAAAGAACTAGTTGGTATATAACCTTTATATAAACTGTTTGTAATTGGCAAAATAGAGTCCTGTCTTGCCTTTCTCTAGGCGAAACAGTCTAACTCCTTTAACTTTTTCCTTATGAGATAAAAGACAATGTTTTTGGTGAATTTTAATTTTTTTTTTAAGATTTTATTTATTTGATGGAGAGAGAGGCAGTGAGAGACAGAACACAAGCAGGGGGAGGGGGAGAGGCAGAAGCAGGCTTCCTGCCTAGCAGGGAGCCCAATGCAGGGTTCAGTCTCAGAACCCTGAGATCAAGACCTTAGCTGAGGGCAGACATTTAACAACTGAGCCACCCAGGCACCCTGAGTTTTGTTTTGTTTTGTTTTTTTGTTCTTTTTTTAAGATTTTATTTATTTATTTATTTGAGAGAGAGAGAGAAAGAGAGAGAACATGAGAGGGGGAAGGTCAGAATGGGAAGCAGTGGTTAATAGGCTCTCTGAACAGAGAACCCGATGCGGGGCTCAATCCCAAGACCCTGAGATCATGACCTGAGCCAAAGGCAGAGGCTTAACCCACTGAGCCACCCAGGCGCCCACCCCGAGTTTTATTTCACGATTTACTCTTTTCAATTTTATCTGAGTCTAAAGTTCTAGTCTCAATCAATTCTTTCCTGTGAGACAGCATTTAGACTGTCATTCTCTCCTCCTATACTTCTCTGCTAACCATCTTACCTACCTAAGTCCACTTCATACACACCTGGGAACCAGATCTCCTTTCCCAAAATCGCACAGGGACTATTATATCTAATGCCAAAATCTCCTCCAAAGCATGTATCAAGTAACATTTCAGATCCCAGAAGTATTCCGCTAACCTTCTCTCAACTTCCAACACAAGTGCATTAAAATATAGCTACAAAAAAAAACCACAAATTATATATATATATATAGCTACCAAGAGTATATAGAAAAAGACACAACTGTTTAACTGTTAAAAAGTAAAGAAACAGGGCGCCTGGGTGGCTCAGTCAGTTGGGCATCTGACTCTTGATTTCAGTTCAGGTCATGATCTCAGGGTTGAGACTCGGCCCATGTCAGGCTCCACACTGAGTGTGGAACCTGCTTGGCATTCTCTCGCTCCTTCTTCCTCTGCCCCTCCCCACTCAGCATGCACACACTATCTCGCTCTCTTTGAAAACAAACAAACAGGGGTGCCTGGGTGGCTCAGTGGGTTAAGGCCTCTGCCTTCAGCCCGGGTCATGATCCCAGCGTCCTGGGATCGAGCCCCGCATCAGGCTCTCTGCTCGGCGGGGAGCCTGCTTCCTCCTCTCTCTCTGTCTCTGCCTGCCTCTTTGCCTACTTGTGATCTCTATCTGTCAAATAAATAAATAAGATCTTAAAAAAAAAAAGATAAAAAAAAAAAAATGAAAACAAACAAACAAAAAAACCCAAAACCTAAAAAGACAATGACTTATAAACAATTCCATTAAGCAACATAATTTGCATCAACAGCTACCAGACAAAGCTTTTTCTATCTAATTCTCATCACCCACCTTGTTTCAATGAGGTAAGCAGTGTATGTTTCTTGCATGTTCATGGCATTTCTTCCAGTTCGCTTTTCTGCTTCTGAAACACTAATTTCTATCTTCTTCAACCAAAAATTATTTTCAGTCATCTGGACAAAAACAAATAGAAGAACAACCACAAAACTTTCAAGAAAGTATTCAAAAAGAAAAAAAAAATAACTATTATAATAGAATCCATTGTTGGTACATATTTCAAGCAAATTTCTTCTATTTCTTGAATTGCTAGGGGTTACTAAATGACAGCAGCAAATGATAAATGTCTCATTAGCAGCGTTTTGTAGCACACCAAACTTTTCCAAAAGCTATTTTAACATGTATCACACATTTAATTATTAAAACACAAACATTCTGTCTGTCTCAGTGACCAAGAAAAAAATCAATATAAAATGCCTAAGAAAAAAAAATCTAAAAACATTTTATATAAAGATGAATAATTCTCAATATTAAAATCTAATTTTTTGTTTTAATAAAGTTAAACCTCAGTCCCTCAAAAAGAAAATACTATACATATGCCAAAAGGCAAGATTTTCAGATAGGTTAAATTTAAAAAAAAAAGTTGTCTTACATTCAACTTTATTATTTTTTCTTTTTTATTATATCCAATGCAAAATTTGCCTAAACGCTTTGGCAGTGGTTAATAGGCTCGACTTGTCAGACAGCAGCAAGGTTTAACAGCAGACCCCTCTCTGTTCTTGCTAAAACATCCCCAGGTCTATGATAAAGAACAAAAAAGAACAACAACAACAACAAACCACCACAGTAATTCAAAGGCTGTATGTGAAGAAAGTGTGCCACTGAGGAAGTAACTCCAAGACTAATAAACAAGGAAGACAGTGAGACCATGTGATAACTGCTGTGCTTTGGGTTTTCCCCCCTTGCTCTCTCTCAGAGTTCGGAGGTGGTTTGTTTGTTTTTTTTAAAAGATTTTATTTATTTATTTGACAGACAGAGATCACAAGTAGGCAGAGAGGCAGGCAGAGAGAGAGAAAGGGAAGCAGCTCCCCACTGAGCAGAGAGCCTGACGCGGGGCTGGATGCCAGGACCCTGAGATCACGACCTGAACCAAAGGCAGCATCTTTAACCCACTGAGCCACCCAGGTGCCCTCGGAGGTGGATTTAATTATAAACACTGCACATTATAACTGAGGGCAGTTTGTGAAGAAGGATGTCAAAAACTGACATAAATGGAACCATTTTATTCTGTTTTATTTTTAAAGATTGTATTTACTTGACACAGAGAGAGAATACAAGTAGGAACAGCAGGCAGAGCGAGAAGCAGGCTCCCCACTGAGTAAGGAGCCCGATATGGGGCTTGATCCCAGGACCCTGGGATCATGACCTGAGCTAAAGGCAGACACTTAACCAACTGAGCCACCTAGGCGTCCCTGAATGGAGCGATTTTAAAAGGGAGCCAAGAAACCACTGCAGAGTAACTGCCTTATCTGAGTTTCTGCTCATACCAGACCAAAACCTTTGGACTAGGCAAAACAGCAAGTGTTTTAAGCAACTGCTTGAGAATTCAGGAGGAAAACAAATATCCTATCCACAAGTCCCTAGGTTATGGACTTTCTGAAGACAGAATCTGTAGTAAAACAATGTATAACTAAGGGTTTAGCCTTTCTTTCTCTTAACTCCTGTACCTGTCCCCCCCCCTTCTTTTTCCTTATAAAAACCCCTTACCTTCACCCTAGAAGCAGGTTACTATTTGGGTTTCTACCTGAATCTTAATCCCCAAATTGCAATTCTTTAATCCCAAATAAACACTTGTTTGCTTCTCACTGTGGCTCTTTATTATCATGTTTACAAGAGACAGAAGTAGAAAGATGGATGCCCCGAAAGAAAAAAGAAAAAACTACAGTAAAACCCACTGGTGATGATTTATACAGAAAATTAAACCTCGGTGCTATGAGAACAGAAAAGGCTATGTGGTATGGCAAAAAAGTAAATGATGACTAAATTTAGGAAGTACCCCCAAAATGCTGAAGAAAAATTGATAAGATAAAAATGCTAAAAGATGGTAAAAAGGACAGAGAACTAAGAGCTAACCCAATAGAATAGAATTATTAGTCATTAAAAACAGAAATCACTCAGTTGTCAAGTAAAACATTTTTATAAAGTATAGGTTGTATGTTTAGCTACTGAGAGAAAAAAATAAGGAAATACTTCAACCAAAAGAAAGTTCAAGAAATTACATAAGCACAAATCACCCAACATTAAGATTATGAAGCCCTCAGTGGTTGAGACACACACATATATATAATTCTAATTTTGGCCCATAGCCAAACACTTTGATTTACCACCATCTACCCCAGTGAAAAATTCCCCCAATACTGGAAACAAATGACTAATAGAGCAAATAAGATCCCCAGCCAAAAAGATAATGCATCTGAGTCATGAATTTACACTCACACCATCCAAAGAAGGAAAAATAAAAAAAAGAATAAAACCAGCTATCATAAAAACTAAAGAATGAAAACAGGAACACAACAATAACACCAGAAGTACTTGGAAGATGATATAAAATTGTTTATCCTCTCAGTAAAACAAAGAGTACCAAGAATAACCCAACTAGAAGCACAATTGTTAAAAGGATACATTGAGCAAATTTAGAGATGGACTGACTTGACTAGAAGATGAGCCCAGGGACATGCTTGAAAGAGAGACAGACTAGTTGACATGTATTTAAAGCCAATTTCTCATCAGAGTAAAGAGTATCATTGAAGAAAGAGCAAAGGAGTAACATCCCAAACGTAGATGCTTGATGTGTCAATCATGACTTTCTACCTGAATTAAGACTAACTACCTAGGATTAAATAAATGTAGAAGATGAACATATTTAAAAGGCTAATGAAATTATTTCCAACTCAAAGATGAATATAATCTATTATCTAAAATGAATATTTAAATCTATTTAAAGTTTTAAAAATGTTGCAAACCACTAAGAAATAGTAAAAGCACAAAAGCAGATAAAAGTGACAAAAGCAACTATTAATTCAATAAATATATCTTGAGTATCTACCATGTCAGTCATTAGGGATGGAAAGACAGATGAAACCCGGTGCCTGACACTTCAGGAGTTCACTGCTTGCATGAAGAATTCTCAGCCCGCATAGAGACGCTCTTTAAGACTAAAAACAAAATGAAAGCTAACCTTAATATAACTTTTAGGATTATAGATGAAAAGAGTTAGTGTTTATGGGATTTGACTTATTTAGTTAATCTTATTTATTAAATCAAACACTAAAGAAAATACATTACACTTATTGTTATATTGAGAATTATAGGAAAAACGGGGGGAAAAAACAGGCCAATTGAGATGAACATGGAGCTAACTGGAAAAGAAAGAATGCAAAGAAAAAAAACAAGATATATTGGGACAGTAAAACACACTGCAAGAAATCAAATCAATAAGAACACAACATAGTTACGAAGCTTCTGTAGAATGTTGAGAAAAAAAAGACCAAACAGGGTAAAAATGATGAAATATGGTTTTAAAAAAACCCAAAGAACCAACATTTAAACAATGTTAGCCCTTAAAGAAGAAATTAGAAGAAAAAGAACAGAAACAATAATCACCTGTAGAATTTATTTATTTTTAAAGATTTATTTGTCAGAGAGCACATGCGTACAACCAGGGGAAACAGCAGGCAGACCAGGTGCAGGGAAAAGCAGGCTCCCCACTGAGCAAGGAGCCTGATTTAAGACTCAATCCTAGGACCCTGGGATCATGACCTGAGCCAAAAGCACACATTTAACCAACTGAGCCACCCAGGGGTCCCTATCTGTATTATTTAAATCTCACAAAACAAACTGAGGGTTGCTGGGGGGAGGGGGGGAGGGAGAGGGGGGTTGGGTTATGGACATTGGGGAGGGTATGTGCTATGGTGAGTGCTGTGAAGTGTGTAAACCTGGCGATTCACAGACCTGTACCCCTGGGGATAAAAATACATTATATGTTTATAAAAAAATAAAGATTAAAAAAAAAAAAAAAAGAACAAGCAAACAAATCTTTCCTGGACTGGAAAAAAGTTATAACCCTTCAAACTGAAAGGCATGTGGTCCATGTATAATGAACTGGAAAAGTTAAACATTCCAACAAGATTAAGGCAGAAAAATAAGAAGTAACACCCCTACAAAAGAATAAATATCAAATCTGCTTTAGACTTCACAATAAATTTCAAATGACAAAGGAGCATCATGCATAGAACATGCTTGAAAATATTTAAACATATTAACATACTGGTCCTTCAAAAATACTTAATCCGGCAGGATTTTTTATAGAAACCAATAAGCTATTACTAAATCTTATATGGAAATACAAAGGGCCTAGAATAGCCAAAACAATTTTGAACAAGTTATAGGACCCAATTTCAAAACTTACTAAAAAGTAAAAGTAATTAAGACAGTGTTGTATTGGCAGAAAGAAGAGAGATCAATGGAACAGAACTGAGAATCCAGAGATAAACCCTTACAATTGACTTTTTTTTTTTTTAGGTCAATTGATTTAAATCAAACAAACACACCAAGGCAAGTCAATAGAGAATGGAGTCTTTTCAACATAGTGCTGAAACCACTAAATGTCCACATGACCCCCCAAAAAAGATTTAGACCCTTTACTCACACTACAGACAGAAATTAACTCAGAATGGCCCAGATATAGAGCTAAGAAAGAAATTTCTAGAAAAAACACAGGAGTAAAATCTTTGTGATCTTAGGATATGCAAAGAGTTCTTAGATATAATACTAAAAGCACAATCCAGAAAAGAAAAAAGTGATATACCAGACCTCCATCAAAATTAAAAACTTACTATTCAAGAGACACTGTAAGAGAGAGGCACCTGGGGGACTCCTGGGTAGCTCAGTCCGTTAAGCATGACTTCAGCTCAAGTCATGATCTTGAGGTTCTGGGATCGAACTGTACTCCCCACTCAGCAGGGATTTGGGGGGATGATAGAAATGTTCTAAAACTGGATTGTGTTGGGGCGCCTGGGTGGCTCAGTGGATTAAGCCTCTGCCTTCGGATCAGGTCATGATCCCAGGGTCCTCGGATGGAGCCCCACATCAGGCTCTCTGATCAGCGGGGAGCCTG